TTTATGAACTCTTTATGAACTATAAAGAGCTATGCAAATTTATTAATTCCCCAAGGACACATTAACCTAAGGTGTCACCTCTCCTTATCCACTCCACCCACAATTGGCAGCAGTATTTTTTCTCTGACACCGGTTCTTTGAAAATGGTCACAAATTCTCACAAATGGCAGAATATATGATTCTATTGATGTAAAAGAAAACAAAACCCCCAAACCATATACTATTTATGCATATATGTGAATATTTATAAATGCACAGAATAAAGCCTGGAAGGATATATGCTAAACCAGTTCACCACAGCTTCTAAGGAGGGGCTCGGATGGGGTAGGGTGTGACAAAGGCAACTTTTCACCTTTTTTTTTTTTTAAAGATTTATTTGAGTAAGAGAAAGAGCATGAGCAGAAAGGGCAGAGGGAGAGGGAGAGAGAATCTCCAGCAGACTCCACGCTGAGAGCAGAGTCCGAGGTGGGGGTTGACCTCACAACCCTGAGATCACAACCTGAGCTGAAACCAAGAGTCTGACGCTTAACTGTGCCACCCAGGTGCCCCAATTTTTCACTTTTTACTATGATCTTACTATGACATTGTTATTATTTATGTATTTTTCAAAATATCGTTCTATTTAAATCTTCTTTTTTTTTTAAGATTTTTATTTATTTATTTGACAGAGAGAGACACAGCGAGAGAGGGAACGCAAGCAGGGGGAGTGGGAGAGGGAGAAGCAGGCTTCCCGTGGAGCAGGGAACCCGACACGGGGCTCAATTCCAGGACCCTGGGATCATGACCTGAGCGGAAGGCAGATGCTCAACGACTGAACCACCCAGGCGCCCCCAAAATATTGTTCTATTTATCAGTCATGTTAGTTAACTGAAGTTGGGAATTGTCTATTTAGGTACATCCAGCTATTTCCTGAACTCTGATATTAGAACTACTCTTCTTAAAATGATTCAATGTTTCCCTTGATTCCATTTACTAAATTTGTTCTTAAAGTAATGACAGGGCTGACTGGATCAATCGGTAGAGCATGCAACTCTTGATCTCAGGGTTGTTGGGTTTGGGCCCCCCGTTGGGTGTAGAGATTACTTAAAAATAAAATCTTGGGGCGCCTGGGTGGCTCAGTCGGTTAAGCGGCTGCCTTCGGCTCGGGTCATGATCCCGGGGTCCTGGGATCGAGCCCCATGTCCGGCTCCCTGCTCGGCAGAGAGCCTGCTTCTCCCTCTCCCTCTGCCTGCCACTCTGCCTGCTTGTGCTCTCTATCTCTCTGTCAAAATAAATAAATAAAATCTTTAAAAAAAAAATAAAATAAAAAAATAAAAAAATAAAATCTTTAAAAAAAAAAGTAATGGTAGAATTCTGGCACTATTACAAGGTTCACCATTACTAATTATAGCTAGGAGACCCAAAAATACCTAGATCCTGATCTTAAGTAAATATCCTTCCTTGAAGGGGTAGAGATGTGCATAGAGTATACACTATTTGTGGATAATGTAAGGCTGCTAGGCTTGGCCATATGAAGCAATCCTTTCTCAAAATTTAATTAGGCCTAAAAAGTCTGACAGATTTAGGTTTTCACATCTGCTTGATGTCATCCCTCCAACAACCAAATCCAAAGTTCCGATGGTATCCCAAGAGAAAAAGGTTATTTGAATCTGTACTCATTAGCCTGTAACAGGGGAAATGAAAACAGAGAAATCACAAGGGGCATTTTCCCCATGCTGGGGTCAAGCTGACCTCATGCTGGTCTTACCTGGTCGGGACATTGGCCGTGACCCACTGTCCTTAGATCTATACAAGCTTTGGCACTTCCTGTTCCCAGGCAGAGGAGGGTAAACAGGAAATGGAAAATGCCTGGCACTAGAAAGGCATCTTTTAGAATAAAGACAAGGCCTTGGTCCAAGCTATAGCACATGAATTTGTAAAATCTAATCATGTCTCTTCAGAAGTCTCCTCCCTTCTCAGGCCGGTCCCTTAGGTAGTCTCTTAACTACAATTGCATTGGCTTAACTCCAATCCGATCAGCACAGCTGTCAGTCAACAGGTCACAGGTGCTTAATATAAGGCTTGACTGTTAAAATCAGAGTAGGGTTTTATTTGTAATAAAATAATATAAAAGCAAGGGCTGTAAGTCACCTATAACACTGAAAATTTGGACGTAACTCCTGAGTCCAACAACAGAAATATCGAAGCAAACTGACCTCTTTGCCCTCAAAGGCAAATGCTCTGAAATAACTCAAGAAATAGAAAGAATGAAGAACTGTAGCATTGGAAACAGAGAACGATATAATAAAGGGACTAAAAATATGAAGGAATGGGGCGCCTGGGTGGCTCAGTCGTTAAGCGTCTGCCTTTGGCTCACGTCATGGTCCCAGGGTCCTGGGATCGAGCCCCGCATCAGGCTCCCCGCTCGGCGGGAAGCCTGCTTCTCCCTCTCCCTCTCCCACTCCCCCTGCTTGTGTTCCCTCTCTTGCTGTGTCTCTCTCTGTCAAATAAATAAATAAAGTCTTTAAAAAAAAAAATACGAAGGAATTCCTGAAAGAAGTGAAGCAGATGGAATCAGATCAACAGAAAAGTTGATCATGCTCTCAATCAAAGAGCCTGGTGATTTAACACAATAAGAGGCTCCATGAGAAGTGGGTGGGTTTTCCAACCAAAGGCCCAGAAATTGCCCAAAGGCAGGATGGCAGGGAGTGGGACCATGGGCAGGCTGTGGGCCAGGCAGTGGAGGGTACAGAGAAATCCCATTAACTTCTCAGAGCTCTACAAGTTCTAGTCAAAGAAATAAGGGTGAAAAGAGTAGAAATATAAGACTCCAAATCACCATTATTTCCAGATAGCATTTCCTTTGAAAATCCACGAGACTCAACTAAGAAGTTATTAAAAAACAAAGTACAGGGAACGCGTATGTGGCTCAGTGCTTCTCCCCCTGCTTGTGTTCTCTCTTTGACAAATCTTTTTCTTTTTAAAGATTTTATTTGAAAGAGAGAGTGCACATGAGCAGGGGGGAGGGGCAGAGGTAGAAGGAGAAGCAGGTTTTCCACTGAGTAGGCAGCCCGATGCGGGGGCTCAATCCCAGGACCCTGGGATCATGACCTGAGTTGAAGGCAGACGCTTAACCGACTGAGCCACCCAGGCGTCCCTAATAGATGAATCTTAAAAAAAAAAAAAATCTCAGCAAGTGGAAAAATGTCATATTTCTGAGTAGGAAAACAGTACCATAAAGAAAGCAATTCTTCCCAACCTAATCTGTACAACTAAATTAAAATCCCAAGGGGTTTCTTTTGTGAATTTGAAACACAGATACTAAGAACTATCTGAAAAAATATAATCAGTAATTTTTTTTAAGAATGAAAATGTCCTATCAGGTATCAAAATTTACTGCAAAGTTATAATGATGAAAACTGGTATCAAAAACAGGATACCATTTTTTACAACGATCAGGTTAGCAAAATAAAGTTTGATGGCGCCCAGTGGTGACAAGGCACATTGTGGCACTTCATATACTCTAAGCACGGGTATAAACTGGTAAAAACTTTTTGGAGGTTGCCATCATCTATGAAAAAAATTTAATTGAGGGGTGCCTGGGTGGCTCAGTCGTTAAGCATTTGCCTTTGGCTCAGGTCATGGTCCCAGGATCCTGGGATTGAGCCCCACATTGGGCTCCCTGCTCAGCGGGAAGCCTGCTTCTTCCTCTCCCACTCCCCCTGCTTGTGTTTCCTCTCTGGCATTGTCTCTGTCAAATAAATAAAATCTTAAAAAAGAAGATTGGGGTAGATCTGCAGATGTTGCTATTGAAAGATACCTAGAATCTATTAGATGAAAAAGCAGGAGGTGGGACACTAGGTACAATGTAATTCCATTTATATACAGATTTGTATTTGTATATATATAAATATATCTAGAGAGAGAGAAAGCTTATGCTGGTATATTCATAGGAAAATTTTTAAAGAATATCTAAAAATTGGGACGCCTGGGTGGCTTAGTCGTTAAGCGTCTGCCTTCGGCTCAGGTCACGATCCCAGGGTCCTGGGATCGAGTCCCACATCGGGCTCCTTGCTCAGTGAGGAGCCTGCTTCTCCCTCTCCCTCTACTGCTCCCCCTGCTTGTGCTCTCTCTCTCTCTCTGACAAATAAATAAACAAAAATCTTAAAAAAAAAAGAATACTTTAAAAAATAAAAGAATATCTAAAAATTTATTAACAGTGGTTGCATTTGGAAAGACATTGGAGGTGGAGAGAAGAGGGAGACTGACTTTTCCTTTTTTAGATACCTTTGTGCTGTTCTGAATTTATCATTTGCATAATGCTAGAAAGTGTTCCTTCAATTGTGGTACTGGTACAGGAACAAACAGGCCAGTGAAACAAAATTAAATTTCCAGAATTTATACGTATGTATATGAATTTCACAAGGAGTAACGGCAGAATTTCAAATTATTAATGAGCATTTCAATAAATGACATAGGGACAACTATTATTCATTGGAAATAATATAATTAGACTCAGGTTCAATAAGAAAACAGAAGCCACTCTAGATATTTCAAGCAGAAACGGATTTAATAAAGAGAGTTGTGTTTCAAATCTGTCAGGAGGGCTGGAAAATAAAAACAGGAGAGTTGGTATCACCCAGAGGTCAGGAGGTGCGGGAAGTTGCCACCACTGCTGGAGGCCACGGCAAAAAGAAAGACTTCTTTCCACCTTCCAGTCTCATGCAAGTGCCTCTCACTGGCAAAACCTAAACTAGAAACCCACAGCAAAGGAGTCTGGGAAATGTTTAAAACCTTTCAGCCCCTGTGACACAGGAGAGTGTGGATAAGCAAAGGAGGTGTTTATTTCAGTAAGTGATGTGGTAAAAGTTATGCTTCTGGGAGAAAACAAACAAACAAACAAACAAAACCGAAACTCGGTCCCTAATTCATACCTTATACACATATAAATTTCAGAAAAAAAATAAAATTTAAAAAAATGATAGCATCTGAATTAAAGACAAGGATTACTTTCTACATTATATACTGACACACCATTTAATTTTTATGCAATAACTTTTATGATCCATGAAAACAAAGATTGCTCCATTACAGGGTTAGGAGTAGGGAGATGGGTCAAGTTTTAACATGGGGCATAAAGATAAAGTAAGATACCAAGAACAAAGCCAGCCTGTAACGAGGCCCTAATCTCTGTGCCCCCAACTCCCAGGCCAGGTTCCATCTCCACCTGTGCAACAGTGCTCTCTCCCAGTGACAGTATTTACAGAGGAACAAAAGTCTCCCTGAGCAAGTCACTAAGCAGGAAGCTGGGTAAGGATTAACACAGTGCATTAAACACAACAGAAATGAAACTACAGATCAAAGTCTTTGTTTTCTCTTTGCCTCCCTAGTTCCTGTTTTGGTGACTTTTGTTTTTCTCCTTTTTACATTTGTTATAGGCGGTGCTTTTTTATGGCCTGATTTGAAATAATAGGCAACATCTTAGGATCTTGAAAATGCCAGACTAGGAAATGTTTCTGAACACTGTCCCCCAAGAGGTACTCTGTAGAAGACTACATTGGGAGACATTAATAGAAATGCCGAGAAAAAGCATTTTTAGGCAAATAAGGTTAGAAATTGCCGTACCTCCTCTTGGGGAAAAAAATATCACAAAGTATATTATGTTTCTGTATTAAAGGCACTTCTATAAAGAAAACAGTTTAATTTTATTTAATATCAGATGTTTACCAAGTTTATTTTCTGCACAACACACATTTTTAGTACAACGTATGGTTAAAAAACAATATTCCACAATTAATTTGTTAGATTCTACTCTAGATCATCTTAAAAAAAAAAAAAAAAGGAACAAACCCAAACTTGGTTTGATGTTCTCTCCCAACAGATGAGGAAGCTGGCCCTAATCTTCTACGAGCAGATTCTCAGATTTCAGCTGGGTCTTCCTTGTACTGTCCAAGTTCAGGTGTTGGTATTTTCTTTTAAAAAAGCCACACTAAAACAAAGGAGGGGAAGTCCCATTATAGGCCTAAGATACCCACCTGTTTTAGAAAACCATTATCTAGTTGCCAAAATAGCTCTTATACTCCTCTGCTTTTCATGCCTCCTCTGAATCTCTCCCTGATAACCTGATCCTTCAAGATCTGTCTTTTTCTTTTAATCAGGAATGATTATATTTAAAAAATTCTTTTATTTAAATTCAATTAGCCAACATATAGTACATCATTAGTTTTTGATGTAGTGTTCAACGATTCATTAGTTGCCTGTAACACCCAGTGCTCATCACAACACATGCCCTCGTCAATACCCATCACCCAGTTACCCCTTTCCCCCACCCCCTCCCTTCCATAACCCTGTTTGTTTCCCCGGAGTCAAGAGTCTCTTGTGATTTATCTCCCTCTCTGATTTCTTCCCCGTTTTCCTTCCCTTCCCCTATGGTCCTCTGCGCTATTCTTTATGTTCTACATATGAGTGAAAAACCATATAATTGTGTTTTTCTGCTTGATTTATTTCACTTAGCATAACATCCTTTAGTTCCATCCATGTCAATGCAAATGGTCAGTATTCATCCTTTCTGGTGGCTGAGTAATATCCCATTGTATATACGGACCACATCTTCTTTATCCATTCGTCTGTTGAAGGGCATCTCGGCTCCTTCCACAGTTTGGCTGTTGTGGGCATTGCTGCTGTGAACATTGGTGTGCACGTGCCCCTTCTTTTCACTACAGTTGTACAAGATCCATCTTAAATGCTGCCTTTCCACAAGCCTCTTCTGGTGCTCATTCTCTGGTCAGAAGTGAAAAATCACCTTCCCCTTAAGCCCCAAAGTTCCTTAACCTTTTTAACTTAACTAAATCTGCAAAGTATTCTAGTTTCAGCTGTAATGGATCTTATTTATGTAAAAATACTCAGCCTACTATGCATAGTATGGCATCCTACATCAAGAAACTCACAATCTAGGAGCACCTGGCTAGCTCAGTGACTCTTGATCTCAGGGTTGTAAGTTTGAGCCCCACGCTGGGTGTAGAGATTGCTTAAAAATTAAAAAAAAAAAAAATTTTTTTTAAAAGAAACTCACAATCTAGTAGAAACAAAAATAATTACCATACATTGTGATGACTACCACTTGCGTTTCCAGAAAGCAGCTTATTCACAGGAAAAACATATAACTCAGCCCAGAGGACTGAGGAATCTCTGGGCTGAGATTTAAGGGAATAGTGTGAACAAGGTGAAAAAGTGGGAAAAGGCGTTGGTGTGGGGGGTGGCAGCACAGACAGCAAGCACAGAGACACTAAACTTACTGAGTTACACGTGTTTAGAGAAAAAAGCAAGACCTAATGGTAGAGAGGGGTGGAGGCCACAGAGTGAGGGTCTTGAAAGCAGTAAGCAAGTTTGAACATTAAAAGAGGGGAAGGAGAGTAAAGTATTTAAATAGGGTAATGATCATCATATCCATTTTAGGAAAATCTCTCTGTACTCTGGTATTTTCACATGAGTAGAACTGACCTGAAATAGGATGATTATAATCACAGTCAAAACCAGAAGGCCACTAACACTGCTTCCAATAATAATGATGACAGACAAATAATACTCCTCTTTCAGGAAGATGACAGTGATCTGGAACGAGACAAGGAGAGCATCCAATAAGTCTGCTAATGCAGGTGAGAAAAAAATTCTTCGTGTTATTTTAAGGAGCAAAATATGAGAACTTGGCAACCTTCTGTATATTGACCAAGGCTGACAGTAAAGCAAAAAGCTAAATGTTTCTTGATGCATCATCTAAAATTATCTAACATTGAGACTTCCAGTTTCTGGTCCCATATGTAGAGTACATGGCAGGCACCACTCCGTACTAACAAGTACAAAGCTGAACAGACTCAAAAGTCAACAATTCTTGACTTCCTAAGAGAGGGAAAGACACCTGGCAAACTGCTGCCCCCAAGACTGGTGAGAGAGATAGACAAATATAGGGAGTAGAGGCTTCCCAGTGCTGGGGTAAGAAAATCTGATCTGTAATTGATGAATTACGAGAAGCTCAGTATTGACAACTCTCAGAGTTAAAAACTCAAGGGAACCCAGTCATAATGGAGCCCCCACAACACTATAAGGTTTTCCTCCAGGAGCTTTACCAGGTTCCTACAGTAAATACTAGAGAAAAATCCCTTTGTGCCTCTGGCACCAGGAGAGAAAAAGGAACCATTTTGAAATAGGCCACAGTACTCTTTTTGGCCTACCCTCAGGGGAAACTAGTTAATTGGAGCCTAACCAGCTAAGGTATTACCAGAGTCCAACTGACCTGGGGTAAGGGAAATACCTAACTCAAGCCCACTCTAGGTATCCTGTCCCACGTTAAGGGGGTTGAAAAAAAATGAGAAACGTGAAAATGTAAAGTTCACAGCCCCGAAGCATAGGCTCACTAAAAGACTGAAACCTAGTCATAGGATGGCAGAGCACTTCCCCTCCCGACACCTCACCACATTAATAAAGACCTATTTACAGCAGTTCCTTTTACCTGGTACATCATGTCTAGCTATCAAGAAAAAATTATCAGAAAAAAAAATTAAAAAATTATAAAACATATCAAAAGGCAAAAAACACAACTTGAAGACACAAAGCAAGCATGAGAACCAGACAGAGAAAGGATGTTTGAATTATCAGACCTGATAATTAAAACAACTATGATTAATATGGTAAGGGCTCTAATGGATAAGTAGACAACATGCAAGAACAAAGACAAAGAACAGATAGGTAACGTAAGCAGAGAGATGGAAACCCCAGGAAAGAAACCAAAAAAATATGCTAGAGATAAAACAACAACAACAACAACAACAACAGTGTAACAGAAATGAAGAATACCTTTGATGAGCTCATTAGTAGACTGGCCATGGTTAAAGAATCTCTGAGCTAAATATACCAAAGGAATCCATGAAAAGCAAAGAGAACAAAAATTGGATGGAAAAAACACACCAATAGCAGCACAACAAAATTACCTAAGGAACAAAATACTTTCAGTTATTTTGGTCTGTCAGGAGATCTGTTAAAGATTCTTTGACAGTTTAACAGAAGTCTCAGAGAATTATGGTCTCTAGGTTTTAGAGAACACTGAAAGACAGAAAATCAGTTCTACATCCAGCTATGCCACTCTGTGTCCTTGAGCCCCAAGCTCCTCTTCAAACTGATGACCTATTTTAAATGATCTCTAAGTCCTTTTCAATTCTCTTCTGACAGCTCTTTTCGACCTTGCACAAATCCCACACAAAATATATGACAAAGATACTTGTCTGCTCTTCACCAAACTGAAGTGTATGTTACCTCAGAGACACAATAATAAATGCACAATGGCATCCATGTATACTACAGTTGATCCTTCAACCACACGGGTTTGAACTGCATAGGTCCACTTATATGCATATTTTTTTGGATAAATACAGTACTGTAAATGTATCTTTTATGATTTTCTTTTTTTTTAAGATTTTATTTATTTATTCATGAGAGACAGAGAGAGAGAGAGAGGCAGAGGGAGAAGCAGGTTCCCAGTGGGGCAGAGAGCCCCGATGAGGGACCCGATCCCAGGACCCTGGGATTATGACCTGAGCTGCAGGCAGACGCTTAACCGACTAAGCCACCCAGACGGCCCTTAAATACTGTATTCTTACAATAAAGTAAGCTAGAGAAAAGAAAATGTTAAGAAAATCATAAAAGAGGGCGCCTGGGTGGCTCAGATGGTTAAGCGTCTGCCTTCGGCTCAGGTCATGATCCCAGGGTCCTGGGATGGAGCCCCGCATCGGGCTTCCTGCTCAGCAGGAGGCCTGCTTCTCCCTCTGCCTGCTGCTCCCCCTGCTTGTGCTCATTCCCTCTATCTGACAAATAAATAAAATCTTTAAAAAAAAGAGAATACAGTATTTAATACAATAAGGCTTCTGGTCCATAGCATGCTATTTGTAAAGTTTTTGGGGAGTCAAAAGTTATACATGGGTTTTGACCACATGGAGAGTCACGTTGCTCAAGAGTCAGCTGCCGTCCCCAGCATTCTTGTCTAAAGGCTGTCTCGGGAGTCTAAGCCCTCTTCTCACTAACAGGACTCAGCTGGAAGTGATGGCCCTCCCATGGCCAGAGTTTCCCAGGACTTAAGTGGGACCAGAGGGCCACCAAAACTTCTCTGCCTGCCCAAACACTGAGTTCCTTTCATGCATGTGTTTAAGCACCAAGGTTGGGGGGCTTTGGAGATAATTTCTGTATGGGTTGGAAAGCTGGACAAATTTAACTTTAATATTTTTTTATTTCTGAGAGAGCGCACGCGTGCGCCACACGCATGCACTTGTGCAAGCAGGGAAAGGCAGAGGAAGAGGGAGAGAATCTTTAGTGGACTGTGTGCTGAGCACAGAGACTGATGCGGGGCTCTATTCCTCGACCCTGAGATCATGACCTGAGCTGAAACCAAGAGCTGAATGCTCAACTGACTGAGCCACCCAGGCGCCCCTGAACAAATTTCCCTTTAAGGCCTCTTCTAATTAAGTTATAAATGCTGGTTACTTCCTAGGGTTGATCCTTCAGGCAACTATTTAATTCCTATGTAGCTGAGGTTAATAGGAGTAAGTTCTGGGCCTTGAGAGTAGGGAGGGAGAGGAAAAACAAGAAGAGAGCTGGTTTTTCTTCCATGGAAGAGTGAAGTGGGGGGCAGGGGGAAGGTCTTGAGAATCTGGGTTTAGGAAAGTAATGAAGTCCCAAGGTCATAGTGATGTAACAGGGCAGATTTCAGTAGAAGAAATGCTCCTCTTTCTCAAAGCCTCTTCCCCTTTTCCTCTTCTAAACCCACAGGTTCCAAATTTGACCTAAAGCTACCCTGGTAAAGGTGAAGAGAGAAGCAGGACACAGGATACTAGTGCTTGTAGTCAAACACTGATGGTGGCCTACCCAATAACCATTCTCTCCTTTTAATTTTCATTCAGAAATCATGACTGGTCTAAGCTAATCATGACAGAGCTATTCGCCTTTGCCAGTGACCAAGAGGAAATCCAGTTCTCACTGAAAAGATGTAAGGAGATAGCTACTGGGAGTTTTTAGGAAAATTTCCCTCCCTAAAAAGGGAAGACACACTTAGAAAAACTCCTTTTGCTACTGATCTCTTGCTTCCTGTTTTGTGTCCTGCCACATGGAAACACAGCACTGGGAGAGGTGATATCTTTGTGCTGGCACAGCCTGTAGGGCACAAGATCCAAAGGAGCCAGGCTGTTGACCAAACAGATGCCTTTATGGTACATTAGTGGGAGTTTTCCCCTACTTGCAGATGAAATGCGCTTGGATACATGGCTATTTATACTCATAGGTTCATTCTACCTTAGTTGCTTATTGTCAGGAACAACTTAATACTCTGCTTAGGGTATTGAATTTAAAGAAAGGAAAATAATTATGGGGAATCTATGTACAGAAATGAAAGCATCAGTAAGAGAGGGAAATAAATTATATATATGTGCATATACGAAACTGTTAACTGTAGCACTCTTTGGGAAGATGGAGTTGGGGACATGGGAAGAGGGGGAATGAGGAACCATTATTTTTCATTTGATATTTTTCTGTAAGGCTTGGATTTTCTTGCTCTTCTATTTAAAAAAAAAAAAAAATCTGGGCCGTGGGATAATGGAGCACTTCTCTTTCTTCCATGTAACTTTTTGTATTAGAAATACTTAAAAATAAAAGGTAATGTTATTTCTGACATGTCTGGAGAACTGTTCCTTTCTCCTCCTCCAGGAAGGAAATCACAGGACCTAATATTTAGCAATCCAGCCTCACTCTCTTAACATTCCCTCCAGTAATGATCATGCCTGACTAAAGAGCCCACATTATCTCTCAAGCCAGCTGCTGCAGCTGACCCTTAACCATATCTAGGTTAAGTGTCAAGCTCATTTAGCCCATAGATTTCAGTTTGACTTGTGGTCACACTTTGGCAAAAGGAATCCCAAGAGTCCTACTATTTAGTTTAAAATTTATAAAAGAATCACACATTCCTGAGTAACTAGTTAATACTATAAACACTGATACTACACACTAGGAAGACAGTCAATGTATACAAAAAAGTAATTTCTCACTTGGCAAATTTTAAAACTACGTTTTCAAATCAAAGTATACACAGCTGTTGATTTCACCCTAGTTATTTCAGCTTAGGCCTCTTATTCAACTGCCATTTCAAAGATGGAAAAACTGAGGCAGAATCTGACTAATTCAAGGTCACAGAGGCAGCTTGTGGTAGAGTCGAGATCAGAGGTGGCAAGACTGAAAACAGGAAGAGTTGCCTGTACAGAGCCTCTAAGGCTAGGCACAGTTTTCCCCAGAACACCGCTCAGAAAACCAGAAAACAGCCAGGGATTACCTTAGTTCTGTGGTTCTCTGCATTCAGCCTCTCATATAGAGATTTGTTGAAAGATATTTCACCAACGATCTGTAGTTCAGTTACACCTCTTGGTAACTGTAAGATGGAGGGTAGGTAAAACATATTTTAGACATAGACTTATTGTTTTTGGACAGCATCTTTTCCTTTAAACGTGTTCCTTCTCCTGTATTCCTTTGTCTAGTTAGTGGTCTTGGCAACCATAAAGTTGCCAAAGCAAGAAACCTGCAATCATTCCCCAATTTCTTTTCCTTTACACTTTACCTCCTGTCACAGCCCCACTCACCAGCCCCAAATCAGTTCTTGACAATTCTTTTTTTTTCTTTCTCACATCTGTCCCTTTTCTCCATCCCTCATTGCTACGCCTTCAGTTCAGATCTCATCATTCTCATCTGGATCACTGTGAGGAGTTAAACTTGATCCTAGTGCCCACTTTAGAATGAGTGATCAGGGAATGCCTCTCCAAGAAGGTAACATCTGAGCTAAATATAAGAAACCATGCACATGAAGATACGGGGGAAGAAGAGTGTCATGCAGGGACACCTGGATGGCTCAGTAGGTTAAGTGTCTGCCTTCGGCTAGGGTCATGATCCCAGGGTCCTGGGATCAAGCCCCACATCCGGCTTGCTGCTCAGTGGAGAGCCAGCTTCTCCCTCTCCCTCTGTCCCTCCCCCCCATTCATGCTCTCTCTCTCTCACTATCTCAAATAAGTAATAAAATGAAAATTAAAAAAAAAAGTGTCATGCAGCAGGGACAGCAAGTGCAAAGATCCTGTGGCCAGAATAATATTGGAGAAACCAAAAGGACAGAATAGCTGGAGTATAAGAAGTGGGAAAGAGGAGAGTACTAGGAGATAAAGTTGAAGAAGCAGAGACTAGACCATGCAGTGCCTTGCAGGCCATTGAAAAAGTATGTGTTTTACTCTAGATGTATTCAAATGTCACTTTTTTCTTTTCAGAGCCGTGGCACAATGTTTACCTTATTTATTTATTTATTTAAAGATTTTATTTATTTGACAGAAAGAGAGACAGCAAGAGAGGGAACACAAGTAGGGGGAGTGGGAGAGGGAGAAGCAGGCTTCCCGCTGAGCATGGAGCCTGATGCAGGGCTCGATCCCAGGACCCCGGGATCATGACCTGAGCCGAAGGCACACTTAACAACTGAGCCACTCAGATGCCCCAGCACAATGTTTACTTTAAAATAGCTGTTATGTGAAGAAAGATTTGTAGAGGGCAGGGCAAGAGCAGAGACCGGAGGAAAAGACAGTGTTTACTGCAACAGCCTGGGCAAAAGATGGTAGCCTGAACTACAACAGTAGCAGTGGAGGTGGAGAGAAGTGAATGGATTCAGAACCTATTTTGGAGGTGGAAGGACAGAGCTTGGCGCTGGAACAGGTATGGGGATGTAGGAAAGGAAGAAGTCACAAGTATTTCCCAAGGTAAGTAAATACAGTAAGTTACCCTCATCAATTATCCCAAGTAATTGTGTAAAGAACAGACCGGGGCAAAAGGTGAATCAGGACACCTGTCTTGGACATGTTACATTTGAGATGTTGTTAACTTTTCTCAGAGAGAGAGCAGAGGCACGTGAGCACAATCAAATGTGGAGCATTCACCATCTCAAGTATCTGCTGAGATTGATTCAAGGACAGCTCCGCGGCCACCGTTACATTTTCTGTATTCGAAGTGATGGTACAGTTCACTGAATACCATTCTTCCACATACTGAAAATGAAACTCTGGTTATAGTTAGCACCGTCCCCTTTTGAGTGAAAAAGCAGAAAACATTAACACTGGGCACGCAGAGCATGTTCAGGCCCCAGGAGAGAGGGTGTGAACAGTTTCGGCGCTCCCCTTGGCTCAAGCAAAGCCGCAACCGTGGCTAACCGTGGCTAACGGGGCCCAGCGAGGACACTGAGGACAGCCTCGAGGCCACCCCGCAGAAGCTTTCGGCAGGAAACGCCCGCAAAAGTAACCCCGGGCCGCTCCCGTCGCCCGCTTCGAGGCCTCCTCCCTCCCTCCACCTCTCGCGACGGTCGCGCTCACCCAAGCAGGATCGCTCCCACAGCGGTCCGACTTCGGACTAGACTTGCACTCGGTGTGGGCCTGAAACGAGAGCCATGGAAGTGCGAAGAGGAAGACGCCAAACCGCCCGTCACCCGCCCGCCGCCGCCACCTCGCGCGGGGCCCATTGTGATGCGTGTGCTCACGGCCGGACGCTAGGACCCAGCAGCCCGGCCGGCCCGCGCGTCTGTCTTAAGGAAGTCTCGCGGTGTTTGCATTTGAACCTCCGGGCGGGTGCCGACTATGGCGGCGTCACTCCAGCGACCGGGGAATCGGCTCTTCCGAACGTACGGGGCTGTGGGCGGCGGGAGGCCGCGGCGGCGGCCGGATCGGGCAGCCGCGCAGTGGTTCCCGCCGCAAGAGCAGAAGCGTTTTTTCAGCAGCAGCAGCAGTAGCAGCGACGCCAGCAGCGGCGGCCCCTCGCGGTCTAGCACTTCCGACGACCCCGACGACCCCGACTTCCTCGGCATTCCGGTAGGTCAGCGGCGGAGGCGCCCTGGCGGTCGAGCCTCCAAGGACCGGCTGAGTCTGGTCGCGACGCCACGACGCCCGAGGCTGCGAGCTCGGCCTCCGCAGAAGTGCAGCACCCCCTGCGGCCCGCTCGGACCGCCGCCCTTCCCTAACGGCAACCCAGGCCGCCTCAGCCCGGACCTCAGCGCGTGCAGCCAGCCCGGGGACGGCGGCGAGCTGGGCACCAGTGCCTCCCTGTTCAGCAGTCTGGCCTCTCCCGGCCCCGGCCCCTCCGCCTCTCCGGATGCGGCCTCCGAAGTTCCGGGCGCCTTCCACCTTCCAGTGGCCTCCCCGGGCCCAGCACCCCTCCACAGCTTCCAGGAGGCAGCAACAGGAGGAGGCAGGTTCACCAGGTTGGCCCATCGAGCCCATGCCAGTCTCAGGTCCGCTGTCTTTAGTCTTATGGACTGTGGAAACCCTGAAGATTATGAGTTTGGGGCCGATGGGAGGAATATGAGGGAGTCTTGCTGTGAAAGGAAACGGGCTGGGAAGAGGCTGGAGAGGCCAGGTTTATCAAGCATGGGTAAGAAGAGGGCCACAGACCAGGACTCCTGTCAAGAGATCGGGTCTCCAGGGGCTGCCCAGATGGACTACGAGGCAGATGGCTGCAAGGGCTGTATTGTACCTGGGGAAATCAACGGGCTGGAGAAAACTGGGCCTAGGCGAAAAAGGAAACTTCAGGAAACAGTAGAAACCTCCCTTCTCCATTACCACCAGTTTAAGAAGAGCCAAAAGATGGGAAAAGACTCATTCCTCGCCCAGGACCTGGCTCATTTACAGAATGCCTGCTCTTGGACCAAAGCCAGGGCTTCCTTCAGTTTCCACAAGAAGAAGATGGTGACTGCTATGTCAGAAGTATGTAGCAGCCACACCATTGCCAGTTCTCTCTCTGAGTCCCTCATATCCGAATATTCAAACCCTCCGGTTATGAACAGAACAAACAGTGCTCTGTCTCCTTGGCACTGCTCTTCCATGTATTTGCTAACCCCCTTAAAGACACTACATGTCACAGACAAAAAGGCATCTGACGCTGAAAAGGTTTATGGGGAATGCAATCAGGAAGGTCCTATCCCCTTTAGCTATTGCCTTTCCACAGAAAAACTGGAGTGCTGTCAGAAGATTGGGGAAGGGGTGTTTGGAGAAGTGTTTCAAACAGTTACTAATCACACACCCGTTGCCCTAAAAATCATTGCTATTGAAGGACCAGATTTAGTCAATGGAGCCCATCAGAAAACTTTTGAGGAAATTCTGCCGGAGATCATCATCTCCAAAGAGTTGAGCCTCTTGTCTGATGAGGTATGCAACCGTACGGAAGGCTTTATTGGTTTGAACTCCGTGCACTGTGTTCAAGGATCTTACCCTCCCTTGCTCCTCAGAGCCTGGGACCATTATAACTCAACTAAGGGTTCTGCAAATGACCGGCCTGACTTTTTTGAGGAAGACCAGCTCTTCATTGTACTGGAATTTGAGTTTGGAGGGACTGACTTAGAGCAAATGAGAACGAAGTTGTCCTCCATGGCTACTGCAAAGAGCATCCTGCACCAAATCACAGCATCCCTCGCAGTGGCAGAGGCGTCACTGCACTTTGAGCACCGAGACTTACACTGGGGGAACGTGCTTTTAAAGAAAACCAGCCTCAAAGAGCTCCACTACACCCTCAATGGGAAGACAAGCACTATCCCCACCCGGGGAGTGCAAGTCAATATCATTGACTACACACTGTCGCGGTTGGAGCGGGATGGGATTGTGGTGTTCTGTGACATTTCCATGGATGAGGACCTATTTACAGGTGAAGGTGACTACCAGTTTGAGATCTACAGGCTAATGAGGAAGGAGAACAACAACTGCTGGGCTGAATATCACCCTTATAATAATGTGCTCTGGCTCCATTACCTCACAGATAAGATTCTGAAACAGATGACCTTCAAGATTAAATGTAACACCCCAGCCATGAAACAAATGAAGAGAAAGATCCAGCATTTCTATAGGACAATGCTGAACTTCAGCTCTGCCACTGACTTGCTTTGCCAACACAGTCTATTTAAGTAAGCCAGAGGTGCCTTATTGGCCCAAACTGAGAGGACACTGGTCTTCCAGCCCCTGATGCTATTTTCAATCTCCATCCCCAGAGCAGGGTGGAATTCCCATTCTATATGTTTCTAGAAATTAACAGACGTTCTTTAAAAATAAACTGTACATCAGAACAAATGATTACAATTTATAAGCCCTCTTTCTCTCAGCAGAGTCCATTCTGTAAATGCCTTTCTGTATATTCCTTTTTGAACCTTGACATTTCATGAACCCTGAGCCCCCCCCCCAAAAAAAAGAATTGCAGGAAAGCAAAGGCCTCAACTTTCATACTCATCAGAGCCTGTGGCTGTAGGTATCAAAAGGGAACCATACTACAGGTGAAGAGTCAACTGAGAGCAAAGGGGCTGTAGCAAAGCAGAGCAGAGACAGACTGGAGGGAGGAAAGGGAGATGGTATATTTATAGGGAGAAGTGCAAGGAATAGCTCATGTTTATCAAGCTTATTTGCCAGTCACAAAGAGAAGCAGAATTTATCAGTTTTTCAAAGGGAAAATAAATGTCTCCATGGGTATTAAAAAGGTTTGATTTTTTTTGCTAATTTTTCATCAAGGGAAGGAAAACTGGAATGTTGCTTTAAGAGCTGAATGATTGATATTTCTTATGAACGTGACTGGCAATTTACTCCTGATGTGTTCCCAAGTTAACTAAACTTGTTTTTACTCCTTTCCTAGAATTCTAGTTTTACACCTTTGAGAATCCACAGTCACTCTGAAAAAGAGATGTGATCGTGATTAAAAAACAAACAAACAAAAACAATACACCTCTAAGTACCTGAATCTTTGTCAGGTTTTTCACTCTTATAAATTGGAGAGCTTGTAATTTGATTGGAACACAAATTTGCAGCTGGAATACAGCTCCAAATAGATTTTCCCCATGTATCTACAAAATAAAATCAGAGAGTAGGAGATCAAAACTGGTGTTGTTTCGCCACCTGTAACTTTGCAATAATAAGCATTAAGCACTTACATTGAAGAGGAATTCTTTGTAGACAGAAAGCCCCTGGCTTGTGTTCATGTACATCACTGAAGGTCTGCAAATGAGAGGATATTTGTTAGGCCTCAAGGCCCCCTTCTTTCAAATGAGCCAGAATGCTACCAATTGGATACACTAGGACAGAGGGCACCATATCCTTAAGAAGAATCAAAGCAGAATATCAAAATGTAAAGTGGTGGTAGGGCAGTTCAGATCAGGTAGAATATTTGAATTCTGTGTATTTGGGCTGGTTCTGTGTCTAATTGTTATTCCTCGGTGGCCTTACTTTTCTCCTTCCTTACTTCCCAATCCCGTAGCTCCTCTCTTCCCTCCTTAGCATTATGTCAGTAACCTTTAGTATTAAGACCAGTTGGCACTGCACCTCCTTTGATTACTACCATGGGGTTTCTAGGACCCAACTGTTCTTGCCCTAGCGATCAGTGGGAGCCTGGGTTTTAAGCAGCCTCCTGTCAGAGATGAGGAATGCCCACATCCACCCTGACCACCTGAAGCTGCAGGTGTTGGCCCCCTGGAAGTACTTACTTAGGGAGAACTGCAACGAAGGCATGCTTGAATTGAAGGCTGTGGCTCTGTGTGACCGAAGACTTTTTGTCATTGAAACTAGGAAATAAGAGTGTCAGTTCACAGCATATCAACTGTGTATACAGCTGCTTATATACCTTGGCTTCTCAGGGTCAGGGAGGGTCAGATAAGAAAAGACACTTGAAGATAAGTAATTAGAGTGCAGAGGACTTGCCAGAAGACCATACTTGGAGAAACACTGATTTAAAAAGGGTTTCTCAACCTTGACAATAATAACATTTTTTGTGAGAGGCCATCTTATATACGCTATGGTGTTTAGCATCCCTGGTCTCTACCCACTAGGTACCAGAAGCATTCCCTCACCCCACAGGCTGTGGCAACCAAAAATGTTTTTAGGCATTGCCCCCAAAGGGCAGAATCATCCCCATCTGAGAACCTGTCCCCAAAACTATATCCATACCCTACCCCTGAAATGTAGAAGTTTTGCAGGTGACCGAGCTTCTCCAAGTTAAATGAACCAGGAATAGAACTTATGTCCAAGGCTCATTTACCAGACTATAGTATAGTTTTGCTTTGTGTGTCAATAAAAGGACATTTTGAGTAACTCTGATAACAAGAAGGGAAGCCAAGGCACTGCAGCCGCATATTCCTTCTGCGGTTTCACTGAGGCTCTCCCCGGGCAGTGACCGAGCCGAAGCTCACACATGCACATGGGAGGGAGGCTTCTTCCAGGGCCACAGCCTGGGCCCACAGGGCCACAGGCACTACTTACTTGGTGACTGTCACAGTGATGTTGGCTGTCCTGTTTGGAAAGGCATTCTCCTCTAGCTGCCAAACTACTGAAAAGTTTGCCTATTAAAAAAAGAAAAAAGGTCACCTGATTCTTCTCTAGCACTCACAAACTGCTTCCTACTAACTAACAGACTGGGAAACCACTCTTATGCCTCACATTTTAGCCCAGCATGCTTGCACATCCATTATTCCATGTACGCCTTGTAATGTCCATAAGGAGTAAGCAGGGTGCACAGCATTATTCCCCTTTTACAGTTGAGGGAACCACTTCAGAGCTTCCCCACAACACAAAGACCATCAGTGGCAGATGAGGGACTCACAACTAATAACTTTGGGCCTGCTGCTCTTCCCATACTACTCCCAGCTTCACTCTGCTGTATGGGGTGAGGCAACGGTTTGTGGCTATATCCCCCACCCCACCACTCCCTACTTCGAGAGCAAACTTGGCAGCTCTAAGCTCTGCTGTGGATTGACTGCAGTAAAGGGAAATGTGGAGACCATGACTTAAGATTCAGATGAGACTGGGATGTAGGAGACACCACCTCCACGTAAGTGAGAAGAGTCCGCCAACCCAAACACTCACAGATGACCTCTTGAGTATAGGGTAACCAATCTTGCAGTTCATGACCAGCACAGAAGCATTTGGCTTAGGGTCATCACACTGAATGTCTGGAGAAGGAGGCTGTTAACACACAGAAGACACTGTTCTTAAAGAGCAAGAAAGGAAGCAGTTTCCTGATACCAATTCAACAAACATTCACTGATTTTCTACATGCCAGACATCTGCCAGGAGCCTTGGGACACAAATCAGAGTTGGTTTCTGTCTTCCTCCCAAGCTGGGCAGAAGGGATCAATGGTAGGTAGTTGAGGAATTTAAATACAAGCCCTAAGCAGTGGTTCTGTAAAAGGTACAAGGAAAAACAGTATCAAAAGAAGTGAAATCCAACTAGGAGGAATCTGTGAAGTCTTCAGGGGAAGAAGATATTTGAACTGGGCAAACTTGTCATACTGACTCCTTACAGTGAGGAAGACTGCGCTGTGGTGTCTAACTAAACAAAAGCAAAGACAGTTATTAAAGGATGCTGGGGAAGGGTGGAGTTCAGGTGATACAGAAGGAAAGCAGAGTTTTGTTTTGTTTTTTAAGATTTTATTTATTTGACAGAGAGAGACACAGCGAGAGAGGGAACACAAGGTGGGGGAGTGGGAGAGGGAGAAGCAGGCTTCCCGCAGAGCAGGAAGCCCGATGCTGGGCTCAATCCCAGGACCCTGAGATCATGACCTGAGCCGAAGGCAGACACCCAACGACTGAGCCACCCAGGCGACCCTAGGAAAGCAGAGTTCTGATGGGCTCTATGTAAAGCAGGGTTGTGTGTAAAAGGGTCCATCAACATCAGATCTGGACCCAGGGACCCATTCCCTCGGAAACTCTTAGGGAGTTGTAAAGGTGTATCCAGAAGTGCTTTATCTGAAGCTCTGCCCCCCGCCCCCCAGATGGAAATGAGACTGCTTCTCTTCAAAGGGACTTCTATTCTCTAGTCAAGTGAAATGGTTTCATAATTACAGATAGAACTTCAAGCAGCCAAGTTTTCTGATAGCCTACGATTTTAGAGAACATTTCTCAGGGTTACGATACTTCACAGCCGCAGGATGTCCTTGGGAGAAACACTGTTTCCTGTTATCTTGCAGCTAGCTTCCAGTCTGTGACCCCAGGCTCACGAGGGGCCCAGGGGCAGGGCCGACTCTTACTTTCCCAGTGCAGGCTCATGTGTGAGTCTTTCCCTCCCAGAACCATGGTCAAGAAAGGGTGACTGCAGGGTGCCTTGGTGGCTCCGTTGGTTATAAGCGACTGCCTTCGGCTCAGGTCATGATCCTGGAGTCCCTGGATCGAGTCCCGCATCAGGCTCCCTGCTCAGCAGGAAGTCTGCTTCTCCCTCTGACCCTCCCCCCTCTCATGTGCTCTCTCTCTCTGTCAAATAAATAAATAAAATCTTTAAAAAAAAAAAAGAAAGGGTGACTGCAGAACAGCCGCACTGCAGGTGCTGTAGGCAGAGAACAGCGTGCCTGGACTCACAGCACAGCATGTGGTTGGACTGGAGGGGATTCATCTCATTAACAATCATTTATTGGATGGACCAAGATGAGCCTGGAGGCAGGGAGACCAGTTAGGAGGTTGCCATAAAAAAGCAGGTATGCAGGGAGGGAAGGCTTTGAGTGGCATGTTTCATCGTTACCTTTTGTATCCTCTTAAACTGGAGGTTTCTGGGGTAATTCAAACTCATGGTCGTCATGTAGGAATCTTCCCCAGAGTTAGTTAGGTTAATGTTCATAGTCAGCTCCTTTGTGAGACCCACCACCAATTCCTGCCTGCACAGTGTAGGCAAATAGGTACATGTTACCAGTTTATTTAATCTGTAAAAACCTCAATGCAGTACAATAGAACATCCTTAACTAGCTCCTTATATTGCCTGACGGATACATTTAGCCTAGATTTTCTTCCCCTCAACATAAGCAAGTGCCTGGACCAGCACACCCACCTCAGTTGCTGTGTGAGAGGGTGTTAATGGCTACCATGGTGCTCACCATATGGCAGGGACGGTGCTAAATGCTTCACATCCTAAAGTAATCCTCGTAATGCCCCTATAAAATAGTATGCTTACTCTCCATTGCATAGAAAAGGAAACAGAAGCCAAGAGAGTCTAACTAATTTGCCTCAGGTCTAGCACTCTCAAGAGAGGGTTGGGAAAATTATATTTAAATCCTCTTTCTGGGACGCCTGGGTGGCTCAGTCGTTAGGCGTCTGCCTTCAGCTCAGGCCATGATCCCAGGGTCCTGGGATTGAGCCCTGCATCGGGCTCCCTGCTCAGCAGGAAGCCTGCTTCTCCCTCTGCCTCTGACCCTTCCCTGCTTGTGCTCTCTCTCACTCTCTCTCTTTCAAATAAAGTAAAATCTTAAAAAAAAAAAATGCTCTTTCTACTACCAATTCACTGCAACCCTAGGCAAGATACTTCATTCTCCCAAGTTCATACATTTCACATATACTTATGGAGTATTTTCTCTGTGCCAGGTACTCTGCTCAGTACTGGAGATTAGCGGTGTATGAGACAGATACTGTCCCTGCCTCTTTCTTGGCCTCAACTTTCCCATCCACAAAATCATTCAGGCCCTTCCAATTTAAAGACTGGTTTAAAACAGTCTGTTCAGACAGGAGGAGAGAAGACTTGGGGATTTGTGAGAGCTTCCTTCAGTCCCCTGAGGTGCTGCGGGCCCCAAGGTATAAAACCACTATCCACCACTGAGATCTACAGAAAAACATATTAGCAATACAAAGAAAATCTCCTAACCATCTGAAATGTTCAAAAACACGTTACGATCGGGAAGCAATGTGACATGTGTTTTCCTGTCATGTTGTTTTTGTTTTATCACAGCTGAGAAGAGGATAGATTGACCGGTGGGGGAGAGGGGCAGAGATAGCTAGAGCCTGCTGCGTGTGGAAATCCATTCGAGAGATGGCAAAGGCCTGTGTAAGGTAGTAGTAGTGGGGACAGAGGCAAGGGATTGAAGCCAGATATGGGAAGGCCACACTTGCAACCAGAGCAACAGAAAGAGGGATCAAGGATGCGTCCTGAATTTTCACCTTGGATAACCAAGTGGTGCTATTCGTGAGGGAGAGAACATGGAGGAAGACCAGAGGGTGGCAGCTGACCACATGAGTCCAGTCAGGGGATATAATGAGAGGTGCCTATGGCATAACAAGGTAGAGATGTTGAAACAGCAGTTGGATATACTGTTCTAGAGCCCAGGAGAGAGATCTGGGAGCCACTGGAATATTTCACAGGGGTTCTTAACCTGAGGGCCAGGGACGGTTTCAGAGGGCCCCAAGTGCAAACACTTATGTATGCACATGTGATCCTCTGGGGAGGAGGGCCTGTAGTTTTCCTTAGGGTCTTTAGGAGATCTGTACCTACAAAAACGTGGAAAACACTGAAATATTTGGATGCTAAAGATTAGTCTCAATCATGCTTTTGAAAAAAAAGAAGAGACTGATTACTATTTACACTAGGGGGCAACGTAGGGCCAGTTGTGTGTGTATATATATCACAAGGAGTTGGCTGGGAGGGAACTTCTGGGCTGTAATCAATTCCCGTTGGAAACAGTGGCATCTGTTTATCAGGCTGGATTCCAAAGCACTCAAAAGCCTTCAGTTGGATCCTCAGTAATCGAGATGGGCTAAGCCATCCACAAGTCCTACAAATGTCTATGAAAAGGCTTACCAGGACTCAGGAAACAGTGTTCTTCCCCACAAATGCCTACTCTGGCCAACAGGCCATTGGTACCACGTTCTGTATATGGCACTTGTAGCCAGGGAGGGTATTTTAAGACCATCACATGTCCAAAGCCAAACTCCTTTATCTCTTCCTCTCCACCCTGCCTTCCAAAATCATTCTTCTAAAGGCTTCCTTCCCCAATTCAGTTCTTGGCATTGCCTTTACTCTGGAGTTCAGTTGTGATCCAACAGAACTTTTGCATTAATGGAAATAGTCTATATCTGTGCTGTTCAAGATCACCAGCCATATGTGGGTGTTGAGCACTTGAAATGTGCCTAGTTCACCTGAGGAACTAAAATTTAATTATACCTAATTTTAATTAAATAGCCAAATGTGACTAGTAGCTACTGTACTGGACAGCAAAGTTCTAGATGCACAGGACGAAATGACGGAGGCTGCCTTAGACCCTTCTCTTTCTCTCACTCCCCACATCTAATCTGTCATCAAATCTTGTGGGCTTTAACTTCAAAATATAACCACCTTAAACTGCTACCACTGTGGCCCGAGTCACCATCGCTTCCCACCTGAATTATAATAGATCTTTACCATCTCCCTGCTTACATCTTTGCTCCTGCAGTCTACATACAACACAGCAGCAAGAATGAGCCTGTTAAAATGCAAGATCCTGTCATTCCTCTGGTTTCCTAGTTCACAGTAAAAGCCCTTATGCAGGGCCTCAGAAGCCCTGAATAACCGTGCTCCCTGCTCCGACATTACCTCTCCCTTCCTCACTCTACTGCAACCACACTGGTGTCCTGGCCGTTCCTCCCACCTCCAGCCATGCTTCTATCTCAGGGCATTTGCAGTTGCTCTTCCTGCAGACACCCACAGAGTCCATTCCTCAACCTCCTCCTGTGTATACCAAATCATCACCTCAGTGAGCCCTTTCCCGACCATTCTAAAACTGCAACCCGTCCCTACCCAGAACTTTTTCCCACCTTCCCTGCCTTTTATTCATAGTATATCTCATCAATATAAAATTCACCTATTATCTTCTCCACCTAAAATACCAGAAGGGCAAGAATTTTTGTCTGTGTTGTTTGCTGATGCATCTTCAGCATGTAGAGTGCTTGGCACTAAGGAGATGTGCCATAAATATTTAATGAATTAGTTAAGTAATTTGGTTAAGAGGTGAGCCAAGGAAGAGGCTACCTCTAATTGAGGTAGTCCTAGGAGCAAGGAACACTGGGTTATGAAAAATAGCATTATTCAGGGTGTCAAGACACCTGGGTTCAAGTCCACCAAATGACCACTGTGACTCCACACAGTCCTTCAACTACTGAGTCTGTTCCCTAATCTATAAAACAGGAATACAAATCTCTTGCTTCCCTCATGTGTGGCTGAGGACCCAATGAGATAATAAATGCAAAGCCCTTTATGGGCCACCCCATGAGGATGGGTCGGTTTTGATGAGGGTTTTGCCCAGGTGTGCCTTCAGAAGGAAGTTAATTGCGGAAACTATGATGACTGGATCCAACTCACTGAGAGGTAGTGGTGGCCATCTGTAACTCAGCAACACAGAACAACTTATTCTTGCAGTTCTTCTCATAGGGCAGCTGTAACCAAACAGAGAGAAGCAGGGGTCAGCCCAGGGACACCACCATCCCCAGTAACTTCTCCTTAGGACACACTTATCCTTTCTTAGACTCTGAGAAGTACAGGTACACAGAAGCAGAGGCTGATAGGCTGGGGTTGTGCCCACGTGGGCCAAGAGAGCTGTGACTGGCATTCCTTGACCTGTCAGGGGTAGGGAGTGTGTTTGGTCTTACAACATAGGTACACTACGATCAGGCCTGGTCCAGGTAAAAAATGGGGTGGCCTTCATGGAATGGTGGGGGTGCCTGTCACATTTATGTCATGTGAATTAAGCAGCAGTGTTCACAACTCACTAATCTGAACATCTGGGGGAGGAAAACCTAAGTGAAGAGAAAGAAGCTTCCTTAGTCCTTTTAAAAGTAGAGACAGGAACAGCAGGGGCAGGAATGGGGTATACCTAATCACATATTATCAGGTCCAGTCCCCATGACCAGTCTTCCCCGTAGGTTAAATACTCCCCTTATAGTCTTGCCTACACTAAAACAAACTAATTTGGAAGGTTACATAGGGTCCAAAAGGCCCAGTCAAGGTTGAACAGCCCGAGTTAAGTTGAAAGATCAAATTTTCTTTTATTATTATTATTATTATGTTCAGTTAGCCAGCACATAGTACATCATTAGTTTTTGATGTAGTGTTCAATGATTCATTAGTTGCATATAACACCCAGTGCTCATCACCACACATGTCCTCCTTAATATCCATCACCCTATTACCCCCTCCCCTCACCCCTCTCCCTTCTGTAACCCTCAGTTTGGTTCCCAGAGTCCAGAGTCTCTCATGGTTTGTCTCCCTCTCTGATTTCTTCCCATTCAGTTTTCCCTCCCTTCCCCTGTGGTCCTCGGATCTATTCCTTATGTTCCACATATGAGTGAAACCATACAATAATTATCTTTCTCTGCTTGACTTATTTCAGAAAGATCAAATTTTCTAAAGGAGCTGCATCTATTTTTTATTATGAAGGAAACATAGCCAGCTCCTTAATAGGAGAATCTCTGTACTTATGTCCCCAGCAGCCAGTCACCACCTCAGCAGCTTTCTGCAAAGACTGTTACCATGGCTTGGAGCTGGAATGGGAGCTCAGAGTTAGAAAAGAAAACCTTCTTCCTGGAGAAGGGAGATGCAGTTTGCAGAGGTCAGATCTTGGAGCTCTATCTGGCTTGGTCAACAGTTTTTCACTCAACCCCAGTGGAAGAGAGCAGGATTAAACCAAGCTCCCAGCTAGAACTCATTTCTTTGGAAACACCTCTGTGCCTAACCCAAGACCAAATAATTTCTCCACACCCATTTTATTGATGGAATAAATTTTTTTAAAAAAATCTCTTTGCTGGACAAAGTAATAATTGATTAAGGTAAGAATCATGAATGGATGTATGTAAGATATAAATACACAGTCTCAAAGCATCTCTCTATAAGATCCTTATTAATTACAAAAGGACAAATCAACATGACGTGCCTGGTGATATCTGAGTAAAGTTTGTACATTAGATAATGGCATTTTATCACTGTTAATTTCCTGATTTTGATCCTTGTACTGTGGTTTTGTAAGAGAATGTTCTTGTTTTTTAGGAAATATATACTGAAGTATTGGGGGGTAAAAGAGGCATCATATCTGTGACTTAGTCTTAAATGGCTGCAAAATATAAATGTGTGATGTGCATATATATATATGTATATATATATATGAGAGAATGATAAAGCAAATACGATAAAATGTCAAAATGGTAACTTTTGGGGAATCTGAATAAAAGATGCATGGCAATTCTTTTTGGACTATTCTTTAATTTTTTAGCAAGCCAAATATTTCACAATAAAAAGGTTCTAAAAAACAGAATATATATAATTAATGTTCATCTGCTTATTCATGAAATTTTGTGACATTAGTTCTCCTAATCTTTTCTGAATCATCTAACTTGCTGTCAATACCAAATTTTTAAAAATTCTTTACAAAATAAATACACTATTATAAATACACTATTTATAAGTTTAAAACAACATTTCTTGCCTAAAATAATCAAGATGACAATCTTCACTCATAGGGAGGCTGATTCTCCCGCTTCCTGGGCAGGTGAGCAATAGAAACAGTTACCTTGATTATGTTACTCTCTTTCTATTCACTATTTGTGATTGATTCATTGGATATTGGCCAAAATTTGAGCCAAAGAATTATATAATTTAATTTATATAGAGCATTGTTGTAAAAATATTAGACAGTCATGAGTGTCCAATGATTACCTGGAAATATACTTATGTTACCTGAAGCTTTTCTGTGCCAGTATGAACTGCTTTTGGCTTCTCCTTTTTCTTTTTGGAGAGGCAGTTCATTCCAGCTGAATGTAATTATTATTTCAAATGCTCATGTTGTCACTTTGATCATGCTGAGTTTTCTATATGCTGTAAGACCCTCTAAATGAAGACTGACAGAATACCATGGGGGCCAGGGCCTAGGTGGGAACCAAATCACCTTAGATATCAAAGAATCAGGAAATTTGACTGTTTATTTCATCCTCTTATTTCCCTTAGTTATGAGAGAAGTTTCTTGTGACATTACCTGCTTGTTTAGGGTACAGGTTTTGTAGGCCAGGCATTCAGCCTGAAGGCCGTGGTCAGGACCTGGGTCAGCAGATGCACTAAAGGGCATCCTGTCTACAGCACAGAGCAGGTTAGCTCTAGTCCAGGCCCCATACAGGACCCCCATCACACCAGGAACCCCACCACACCTCATCAGAGACCCTTGCCAAGTTGGACAACATATTCCTATGCATCATTAAATGTGTAGCAAGCACGGTTTCTGTGAACATGAAGGAACTAACCTTGCATGTGGTTTGGAGAGTTGTGTTACCCACCAGTAAGGCCCTAGGCAAATTAACACCATCTTAGGAACTCAATTTCCCCATTTAAACAGCCAAGGGGCCCAAATACTGTCTGAGGGCCCTCCTAACTTTAACATTCTTTGAAGTTAGAGGAGCAGGTGCTTGTTCGGGTGTGGCTCCCAGGAGATTCTTGTGTAGCTGAGTCACCTGGAAGATGGCGAAGGGCTTAGTGTAGAAGTCCAAAACAGGGTGGGGATGGTCCCTCTGGCCCTCCGAGGTCTGGAGTTGGTAGCTGACGCTGACACTGATGTTGGAGAAGCAGTCCTCCTCACAGAGCTAGAGTTACCAAGTAATGCAGGGTCAGAGTCGGGGACAAGATGACAAGGAGAATACTTTTAATTTTAAAGTAGTCATAATAAGAAACAAACAACGAAAGTGGTGAGTCAGAAGTTGTAAGCCTCTTCCAAATAAGCCAAGCTGAAGGGAAACTTCCTTCAACCAAGCTGCCTAGAGCTGTGGGAAAATCTCACTTGATCTGCTATGGCCTCAGGCCGGATAACTCCTGATGGTTCCCATCCCAAACCCAAAGGGATTTTGGCCAGCAGAATTTTAAAACCAATTTGAATTTTTTGGAGGGCAAATGGATGCCACAGAAGGGAAGAATCATGATCACATCTGTGTTTATAAAGATCTTTCTCAAAGCAGCCTGCAGGACATATTAGAAAGGTACAAGCTGAACATAAGGAGATTGCGTAGGGTGCCATTGGCCATTCTCCTTAAGTGAGCCTTTCAGCCACAGTAGGAGCTCTGAACACCCGAGAGTCAGTGAGCCTGATTCCTGTGTGGAAAATGGAACTTTCATTGAAGGAAGGCATAGACTTGCTAGAAACTCTCTCATAATCCAGTTAACACTGAACAGACATAGGAACAGATGTGTAGGCAGAAGCATAATTTACGAGTTTACTGGCATAAATGATCCTTCTAGGTCCTTCTAGGCCCTGTCAGGCTCTGAATGCTGACAAACACATTTCTTTTATGTCTCTAGGCACCTTTGTCAGGAGTAAGCCTTTGTAAATGATAACTTTTGTCTTTATTTCTACTTTCTCATTCAAATTTTCTGATGTTTATTCATATAAAGGCACTCAGCCCCACTGCTACTACCAGGTGTGCTTTCAGGAACTCAATCCTTCAGTAGCCCCACTGCTACTACCACGTGAGGTGGGGGACCTCTGTTATTCCTGATTGGTTACCAAGAAAAATGGCAGACAGTTGAACATTTCCCTTTGTGTCGAGCTTCTGGGAAGTTCAGAGGTACAGTAAATGTTCAATTTCAGCAGATTTCTTTACTCTGGAGTTCTAGTATAATTAACTCCGTCTCTCATGTCATTATGTGGTTCTTGATCTATTAGGATTATTTTAATTGCCTAGTTTGTTTTGGGTCTATGCCCTTCATTGCATGCACCTCAAATCTTTTCTCAACAATATACACTCCTCTGGACTTTCTTCTAAACTCCTCCACTCACCTCTCCCTCTGTGGGAATGAGCAGGAGGGACTCACAAAGCCGAGGCACACCGCCATCCCACTCCTTATGGTGGCTCTGACAAATTCTCTTGTCTGAACACTGCAGCCTCTTCCTCTGCTTCATCACGTCCACATCCACCGTGAAGTTCAGGAGTGTCTCTCTGAAGCCTGGGAATGAAGACCAGACTTTCATGATGAGGCTGGAGTGGGTAAGCCTTAGACAAAGTGCCCCTCTCCTGCCTGCAGTTCCTTATGAGCCCCTCCTGCATGGTGTCCCCACCTAGTCCCTTGTGCTGGATTCCTGAGTTTCTTCATTTCGGAAGTACCTTTCTCATGGTCTTCTGGCACCTGGCTAGGGTTCCCCAGTTTGGTCCAGCTCCAAACCCATTCTTAGGGCTGAGTCAGTCTTCCCTTAGGGGAAGGAGGGCTCAGAGAAGAGGCTATGAGTGAAGGAGAAAGGAAGGAGGAAGAATAATCAGAAGATGGGAGAGAAACCATAGAGTAAAACCCGAGGATAGCAGAGCTGGAAGCACCTTCAGACCACCTGGGCCAGCTCCCTTACTGTACAGAATAGAAGGGATGGGAGATGGAGGCATGGCTGCTTTTTTCTGAGTGTGCTTTCAAGAACTCAATCCTTCAACCTTGAGGAAGAGATCCAAAGCACCTCTTCCCAGCAGGGATAAATCCCTTCATAGTATGGATTTAATAGCAGACCACCCTTTTCTGGGTCACTTCCCATTAAACAGAACCTAATGTCAAAGGAACTCAGCTCTAATAGAGGGATTTCAAGCACCAGGACTTCATAATACTCCCTGTACCCCTCCCCCGGCAGGCCTCTTTTCCTGTCCCCTACTGAAGCCAACAAGGAATGACCACAACCCTTGGCAGGTGGTGGTGGGGGGGTCAGTTAGGCTGCCTGTTACCTGACTTAGCAGCTGTGGTCATAGGGTTGATTTCAAAACACAAACATGCATTCACACTGCTGTTGAAGCCAATGGGCAGTGCCTTGGGGGTGAAGGTCATGGACACCTTCAGGTAAACCACAGGTCTTGAGCTAAACGAGACAGCAAAGAGAACTGTGAGAAATGACTGTAAGACCTTCAGCGCTTGGCTCATTCATTCCTTCAATGAATATTTATTGAACATCTCCAATATACCAAGTGTTGTTCTGCATTTTCGGGATAGAGTAGGGAAAGAGACAAGTCCCTCCTCTAGTGGGAAAACAGACAATAAGCAAATAAGAAGAAACTATGTACAGGTAATGCTATGATAATAAAATAGGATAAGGTAATAGAGATTGGGGGCTACTTAGGTTGGGTGATCATGGCTGGCCTCACTGATGAGACATTTGAGATGTGTTAACTAGAGCTGAATATAAGGGGACCCTCACTCCCAGCGGAAAGTACAGCTAGTACAAAGGACGTGTGGCAGCAATGAGCTTGATTTGTTTGAGGAACACAGAGGTCAGCATGACTGGAGCACAGTTCGTGAGACAGAGCATAGGAGATGAGGGTGGAGGGGTAGGCAGGGCCAGGCCACGGAGAGGGTGGGCCACTGCAAGGAATTTGGATGTTCCTCTCTAAGTGGGAGCTGTTGAGGGGTTTTAAGCAGCAGAATAAAGGGATTACTCTGGCAGCTGCGTGGAGAATGGAGCATGGGGAGTGGAGGCAGGGAAGAATGCCATAGCAATGGTGGAGGTGAGAGATGACAGCGTCTTGTACGGGGAGGTATTTTGGAGACAAAGCCAACAAAATCTTGTTAATGGGGTGGCAGAAGAAGGAAAGAGGAACCAAGGATGACTCCTAGGTTTTTGTCCTGAACAAATGGTGCCATTGACTGAGCTGGGAAGCATGGGGAAGGGCAGGTTGGGAGAATGAGGAATGGGTGAGAATATGAGGCCCATTTTTAGACATTTTAACTTTGAGATGCCTGACAGTAACAGCCAAGAGGGATGTTCGATAGACGGCCAAGTCTGGAGCTCAGTGGAGGGCACAGGGCAGATAGGTGCTTTGCCAGAGTCTTTACAGCCATGGGATTTGATAATTTACTTAGGGATGGAGCATAGAAGCTCTGAAATTCATATCATCATCAAAATAATAGCCTTCACTGACCACTGTACCAAATACTTTGCAAAGATTCTCTCAATCTTCATAACTCTGTGGGGTAGATGCTAGTGTTATTCCCATTTACGGATGAGAAAATTGGGACTCAGAATACAATAACTTGCCCAAGGGCGCATGGTTAATTGAGAACCGAGGTTCAAAGCCAGATGCACAGATTCCAGAGCTGATGCCCTTAACAAACACATTTACTCCCTCCATCAGTTCCTGGTGTCTTCATGGGGTCACTGAAGGCAGGGCAACTAGGTGAGGCTGGGACTTGGGACCACAGAAGGCAGGGCGAACCCCTACCGGAGCACAGCTGCCCGGCCCAGAGTGCCCACAGTGATGTCAGCAAGGTGGTCACCGGTCAGATCTAAGCCACCAGCCACTGACATGCCGAAGTAGTGGAGTCCTGAGGCGACCGCTGAGGCTTTGATCCGCTGTGGAGGGAGAAACACAAGGCATGGAGGAGGAGAAGGGGAGTCCTTTTGGGTTTTATTCAAATCAGCATGATCAGCTTTGGTCCCCACCCCAGGGAGTCCTCAGCTGAGGAACTGAAAAAAGAAGGGCAAGGTTTCCCAGGGGTAGTGGCATTTGAATGGAGCCCTGAAGGGCAGGTGGGACTTGACATGGGGAGAGCGAGGGAAGCAGGGGGTGGGGAAGAGCAGGGCCATCTGAGAACATAGCTGGGGGCCACTACAGTGGGAACAGAAGGGGATTTGGGTACAAGGAGGCTTGATGAGGGGCTGGGCAGTGAGGTGGGCCTGTCTAATCAGACATGGGAGAAGATGGGGAGAGACAGGAGCCAGGCCGGGAGTGGGAAGGGGAGACAGAATCATTAGGACATGTGTGGGGCATGAGTGGACGGGGTCCAGAGGAGCAGCAGGTCTGGGGGAAGAGGATGCTTTGGGTTAGGCAGCATGAGACTGAGATGCCTGGGGGGCCATCCAGTGCGGTGTTCAGGAGGCAGCTAGACAGAAGTGAGGAGAGAAACTGTGGTCTGAGGTGGGTAAAAGTGCCCACAAAATAGGTAACATGAGAGGCTGGCAATGGAGTCCTGGGGCATGAGAGTTAAGGCATGGAGGAGGTGGGTGGGGGACAGTAGCCAGAGAAGGGACAGAAGGGGAGGAAGGAGAATCTGAGGGAGGTCCATGGTCAGGAATGCCAAAAAAGGGAGATACAGCTAAGGAAATAGACAGATGTTGCCACAACCTCTTACCCCACTGGAAGTGTCTGGGGTGAGGCCCTGGCCTGGAACCTCTGAGGGACTTCTGTGCTTCACTGGGCACTCCTAACCCCTTGGGACCTGCCCGACACTTAGAACTGCAGCTGGCTTGGGCTCAGGCCATCACATATAGGGGAGGTCAGAATCCCAGAGCAGAGGCTGAAGAAAGCCCTGCAGGTTACCTGAGAGGGGCTAGTTGAAAGGCCATCCTGGCGTCCATTGTAGATGTACACGCTGCCAAAGCTGGTGCCATCGACTGCCTCAAAACCCTCCAGGGGGGCCCCAATGGCCACATCTGTGAGGTTATCCTGACTGATATCCCCTATTGTTGCCATGGCAAAGCCAAATCGGACATTAGTGAATCCAGGGTGCCCACTCAGAGTGCATGCCAAGGAGAAGGAACCATTGGAACCATTCTGTAAAGCAAAGAGGCAGCTCAGCCCTCAAGAGAGGGATGCAGCGTGCACACCCATGCCACCCCAGGAGGCATGCTCATTGGACTTGTTTCTGATTCTCTAGTAGAGAGGCTGAGGCTCAGAAAAGGCAACGGACCTCCCCAAGGTTACACAGTGAGTGAGTGGTAAAGCTGGGATCCTCCTGCCTTGCAGTTCAGCACCCAGAGCCTGCCCCCTCTGTTCCCACAGTTACGGGTACTGGACTGGCAATTGGGAGGCCTGGGTTCTAGTCTTGGCTCGACCACACACTTGCTATGTAAACTTGAGCTAATCTCAACATTGTTGAGCCTCAGCTTCCTGAGATCAAGTGAGATCATAGACAAAACATGCTTTGTCAACTGTGCAGATCTGTGGGATATTATCATCATCAACATGAGACAATGGGGTGAAGAAAGTGAAAAACCAGAGTACGGGAGGAAAGGTGATGGTGCCCCATTGGCTACCATCCACCCTGAGCACCTCCCCATCGCTGTCCTTCCATGCAAGACAGGACCAGGGTGCTCCCAACCTCCAACACATCTGCACCAGGCTGAGCCGCCACAACCCCAGCAAGCCTGCAAAGACGGAGACTCCCACCTGCTCATTCAGATGGTACACATAGACTCTGCCTTCCTCTCTGTGAATGTGGTAGAATGGAGCCGCCACCAGCAGGAGGTCCGTGGTCCCATCCATGTCAATGTCCACAGGGCACAGCTCAGAGCCAAAATAGGATCCCATCTACAGCCCAGGAGGAACTTAGCGCACAAGGGTGCTGGGGAGGCCTTCCCGATACCCCTCAGCAAGGCCAAATCCCTGCTCCTGCTCTTCCTGACTGCCAGTTTGGGTCATTCCAGATCAACATGTTCACCAGAGTAACAAGAAAGCCTGGGTGAGCGGCTATATCCCCTGCAATGGGGGAAGCCAGCTGACAATCAGACATGCAGAGCTGGGGCAATGGCACTGCATTCTGCCTGAGTTCTGTCCAGGCTGAGTCCATAACCCACTGTGTGCCTCGAAGCCTGTCCCATTCCCTCCAGGGCCACTAGATCCTCCCTCCATAATAACAGGGGCACCCTTCTCCAGCAGGTACCTGCTCTCCCTCCAGCACTGGCACGAAGTTGGTCTCTCTGCCCTGCTTCTGGAGCTCAAATACGGCCCCCCGCTGCTTGTACCGTGGAGCCCCCGCCACATAGGAGAGGCCACAGGTCTTGTGCAGTAGGGCCACTGCGTAACCTGGGACAAGGGGGTTGGTGGTGGTTGTGGTTGGGAGCTCCCATTGGGCCACTCCTTTGACTCCCCCTGCCCACTTTCCCAGCCAGTCCGTCAAAGTAGCCTGGGCAGGGGGGCAGATTTGAAGAAACTATCTTTCTCATCATTTTAAAAACTGTCATCAGGGAGTGCTCGTACTTACCCACTGTGGCTTGTCACACACATGTGCCCCACCACACAGAAGTGATATGCACTCATTATTATATATACAGCTTCATTCAAAATACACTCCTTCACACACATTCACCACCCATGTTCATCACACACACAGTATATGAGGACCAGGGAGAGGGGTGAAGGGTCACTCACCACTACTCTTAATGGTGAGGCCCTGCCTCCTCAGGTAGCTGCCCAGGGCCACCCTGAGCTTCAGTACTGAGGAGGCCCTGTCCTCATCCAGAAGGCCCTAATTCTCAGCCTCAGGGTCCCTAACCAAGGCCTATTGCTCAGTCCATGTGACTGACCAGAGCCTGCCCTAACTAGGAAGCCTCATGCAGTCTGATGCCCAGCCTCAGTGTCCCTCTCTGGGCCCCACCCTCACTCAGGTGGTCTCCAGGCCCCGCCTCACCCAGATAGCTGTACTGTGCATTCTTGGTATCCGCCGCAGTCTGGTTCAGGAAGCGACCCTGGTGGCTGTGCATGTCGTAGAGCAGTGCGCCCCCCGACCAGTTAAAGGCCCCGACAGCACCAAGCAGCACCTGCCCCTACAAGGGACGAGTGTTGGAGGCCATCTGAGGGGGAGGGACCCAGGCCAGCCACAGCAGGGGTGGGGGTACGGGGAGCTGGGGGGCAGGGGTGGAGGGCACGTTTACGTTCAGTGATCACTGACCACCTGGCTAGATACGCAGGAGGAAGATAAGACGGGCAAATACTCGGTTCCTGCCTTGTACCCATGACCCTATCAGGACAACTGTCCCTCCAGTACCGGTCAACCCCAGGACAGAAATCTGACCCAGGCCCCAAATGTTGAGCATTAAAACAAAGTAGGATTGAACAAGACAGAGTTCATGTCCTACTGTACAGGTTGCCTGGCACACAAGGCCCACCTATGTTGAGCAATTTGCTAACCATAATTCCACGTCCATGCAAGGCTGGTGTCCTCACCATGCCTGCATCTTTTCCCATCGCGAGGAACAGTGCCTCTGAGGACAAGTATGAAACTTGGTAGGCAAGTGACCCAAGCCAAAGCCTGTGTTAGTAGTGCATATTAAGGGGGAACTGCTCTATCCCTGGGCACACAGAACAAAACGACCTCCTGTAATAAATATGGCCATTCTTTCATCTACTTCAGTGGTCCAGATTAGGGCAAGCAAGTACAAGTGTTTCCCTTTATCCTAAAAGGGCTGGTTCAGAGGCCTCGTTACAGGAGGGCAGAGCCCTACACTGTGAGCCAGGGGTCCCCAAGTCCCTGGGTATCCCTGGGGCCCCTCCTCTACGGTAAGCCTGCCTGGTGTTGAGTTGGCCACATACCTTATCCAGGATCTGGGCACTGAACCCGATCTGTGCCAGCTGGTAGTGGAGGGCCTCTCCAACCGTGCCTAGAAGCCAAGAAGCCAGTGAGACACTGCTGTGGGCTGAGGTGAAGGGAGAAACCAAGTCAGGTAAGAGCCCAGTTTGATCTCATACCCAGAGGGAATGGCATTCAGAATAATGGGACACACACCAGGCTGAGACTGGAAACCTGGTCCTGCTTTAGTAACTACTGGCAGAGTAAGCTTGGGCAGCTCACTCCCGCTTTCTGGGCCTCAGTTTCCTCATCTGTGAGTTCCTGAGAGTGGGATCCATGCTCCAGTCATCCTTCGTTTTCCAGCATCAGAAGAAGCTTCTCATCAGAGCTTCAGGGGACTCTGGGGAAGTGAGGAGGCCTGGGGGGGACTTTAGGGGGACCATCTTTATAGAGATGGGACAGCTGAGGCTCATAAAAGTCAGGGGAGTTGCCCAGAGAGCCATACGGAGGTAGGACAGGAGTGGGGCCAGAGCACAGGGCTTGGCCTCCTGCCAGATGCTGAGGGGACTTGCCCCGCAGAGGCCTCACCTTCCATCTGAACGATATTCTGCTGCAGTTTGCTCAGCAGTCCATCCAGTGCTGTGTAGTTGGTCACCTTGAAGGCATATCTGTCATCGGGGTCTGAGGCGATCAGCTTCAATTCACTGTAGGTCTTATTATTCTCAAATGCCTTTCCCACCTGCACAGGGGCCCTCGGTCAGTGGATCGGGATCGCGAGAGCAGGCTGGATCCCAGGCCCAGGGAGAGGGCTGAACTCCTCTGCTGGCCTTCAGGGCCCTCCACCCCCTGCCTCTGTTCCCTGCTCCCTGTTCTCCTGCACACACTCCTTCCTTCTCACACCAGGCTCATTCTCCCATGCTGTGCCCTTTGCCTGCAGAGCCCATCCCGCCTCCCCTGCACCCTAGACCAGCTCCTCCTATTTGTCCTCCAAGACTCAGCTTAGCACCATCTCCTCCAGGAACCTTCCCTGATGTCCTTCCTTTGGGATCCCTGCATGTCCACTGCTCTTCCCATCACTGCTGGGCAAGTGAGCTGTGACCACCACTGGGAAACAAGCCCTCTGTGGGAAGACCCAGTATGGAATGGGGGAAGTTCAGGATATAGGGACTGGGAGTAGTTGGTGAGTGTCTGTAAATAGAGCAAGGCTTGAGTAAGCTGTTTACAGAAGCCCCTACCAGGAACCCTGGCTCCTCCCCACCCCAGGCTGCACAGGGTCAGGAGGTGCCCCCAACTCTTGGCTCTTACCCCAATGGCAAAGCGCTCAACACCTTGCATCTTTGGGGAATTGATGACAGTAGTGAGGTTGAGTGGGTCCTCAAATATGTCCCCATCGGTGAGTACCACCATGACCTTGGATGCATTTTTTCTGGAGCCGTGGCTTGGTGTGAAGATGTTGTCTCTAAGTAGGGGACAGTAAATGAGGAGGAGAACTTTGCCAGAGGGATACTGAGCTCTGGGAAATTTTATTCACTGACCTGTTTTAGAATTAGAGAGATTTAAGGAGCCCTCCAAAATGGGGAACAAAAATCCAAAGAGCCCCCCTTTGGCATACAGCAGGGCCAGGTGGAGGGGAGGTTGTGACACGCCTTGCCCCTCACCTCCTCCCATAGAAAGGTTCTGGACAGCACTTCAGTCTACTCTCGTGAATAATAACGATATTAATAATAGTGGCTAATATTTACATAGTACTTATGTGCCAGACACTGTTGTAAGCACTGGATATATTTTAACCCATTTAATCCTCACCAAATCCTATAAGACAAGTACTATTATTATTCTCATTTTATTTAATTAATTAATTTATTATTTATTTTGAGAGAGAGAGAGAAAGAGAGTGTGCGCTCAGGGGTAGGGGCAGAGGGAAAGAGAATCTGAGGCAGACTCCATGCTGAGCACAGAGCCTGACATGAGCCTCGATCTCAGGACCAAGAGTTGGTCCCTCAATCAACTGAGCCACCCAGATGCCCCTATTTATTCTCATTTTAAAAGTGAGGCATCGGGGGCTCCTGGGTGGTTCAGTCCATTAAGCGTTTTGGCTCAGGTCATAATCTCAGGGTCATGAGATTGCACTCTGCATTGCTCTCCGCATGGGGCATGGAGCCTGCCTAAGATTCTCTTTCTTCCTCTCTCTCTGCCCCTCCTCCAACCTCCCACCCCTGCTCGCAGCACATGTGAGCTCATTCTCTCTCTCTCAAAAAAAAAAGAGAAAAAAAAGAAAAAGTTAGGCAACTGAAGCACAGACAGGTTAGGCAACTCACCCAAGGTCTCTGAAGTACAAAATGGGGCTGGGATTGAACCCAGGCAGCCACGAAGCCCATACCTGTAAGCACTGTGCTCTACTGCTGCTCACAATTGGAGTCTTTGGAAGAATTTTTGGAGGATGTCTTGGGATATCATCCATCAGCCGGGGCTGGATTGAAAGACCTCGCATTCCCCTTAGCCCAGGAAGAGCTAGAACCTGATCCTCTCCTCCTCGCTGCTCTATCCAGACACCTCTCCAGGCATGAGGCCTCAGAGCTTCTGGGCAGGGCCATGAGCCGGCATGTAGTAGGTGCTCAGGGAATTCCCACTGCCCTCGTACTTACAGGACATGCTGCATGGCAGAAGCAGTCTTGGTGACTCTCCCCACTTGAGTGATGTTCTGGACTCTGGCGAGGGAGGCCATCACATCCTGGCTATCCCGAAGATCAAACTCAGTCTGGATCACTTCCCCGTATTGCACCAGGGCAAAGCTGCACTAAAGAGCAGAAGCCAAGGTGGGGAGGAGGTTGGCAGAATCCCCATGCCCAAAGCACCCCCTGACCCTTAGATGGCTCCCCCTGGAAGTAGTAAAAGAATCCATTCATTTCTCCTTGCCTCTAGGCAGGAGGAGATGTTAAAGCAGAGGGAAATCTCTAAGCAAGCAGAGATGGAGGAAGCTATGATAGTAATGGTTCCCAGGGAATCACAGACTTGTCCCTGAAATCATGTCTCTGTGTAGTCCCCCTCCCACATATAGACTATGGGGTTGGTCATGTGACCGGCTTTGGCCAATGGGACATTGGCAAATGTGATACAGTCAGAACCGTGAAAAGTGCATGCATGCATTGGATCTTGCCCTCTTGGAACACTGTAGCCATGAAAAAGTTGGGCTGGCCTGCTGGAGGCACATGGCCCAGACAAGTAAGGCCATCTTAGGCCATCCAGTCAAGCAACAAGATGTCTGCAGCTGCAGGACTAACTGCAGGCAAGACCAGCAGAAGAACCACCCAGCTGAGCCCAGCCTACATAGCTGATCCACAGAACTGTGAGCAAATAAGTGGTTGTTGTTTTGAGGTGGTGTGTTCACAGCAATAGAGAACTGATAGACCATGTGAGTCTACCTCTTAGGGAAGCCCACCTCAAAGCACTTCTCATAGAAGTTCCTCATCATGTTGGAGACGAAGTCTTTGGCTCTCTGGAAGTCTGGGGGGTCAATGCTTCCTGACCCATCCAGGACGATGGCAATCTCAGTGCCTGGTCAGGAGTGAGCATGGGATTTGAGGCAGCAGTGAGGGCAGCATGTACTGCCCTGTGGGGTACCCACCCCATTCAAGCTCTGGGGGCTCAGTTCAGGGAGGAAGTTGGTAAAGTTCCCAAGATTGAAGATTTTGTCTCAGAGGCAGAGAGCCAGAGCCTGCTCACTCTGACTTGCCAAGTGAGTCACTGCCATCGCTCCTGCTCTTTAGGCCTCAGTTTCCCCATCTGTAATATGGAAGAGGGCAGAGCTGGGACTGACCAGGTCTATAGAATCTAGCCATTGCTCCCCATCTTCCAGACCTAGGCACACCTCCCCCCAGAGGCCTCAGAACCTCTGGGCAGGGCTGCTGGAGGTCGCCAGCCTAGGGATCGGCTCTGATGGCCTCTGAGAGCAACCCAGATCTGCCTCTTCTCACCGGCTGCCTCCTCCTCATCATCCTCCTGTGTCTTCAGAGTCCGGCGCCACCTGGCTGGCTTCTCTATGTTGCCTTTCTTGTTCCTGTGGCAGTTTCTGTCATCCACATGTGCACTAGGATCCAGATTTTCTTTAAAAAACGCACATGGAAGAACTCAGAGTCAGACAGCCTCCTTGTTCACCTCCAGGCAGGCCCACACTTAGATCTGCCCTGATTCCCTTCACAGGGGCCTAGGCTTGCCTTGCCCTATGTCCCTCTACATCTGCCATGCCTCTTCTTAGAGACCCGAGGAGATCTCTTCAATGCTGTCCAAGGTCAGTGAGTGTCCAACCCTTACCGAGGTTGGAGAAGTGGACCTGGGTGTGGTTTTGGAAGTTGTTGGATAGTAGGCTGCATGTCCCTGTGAGTTCTGAGCTGAGGCTGTGGGGCTTCCGGGCCAGCACTTGAATGCAGATCTAGGGGAGGGGGGAGAAAGGGAGGGGAAAGCCTAGGTCACCTCCAGCACAGTCCCCCTAATCACAGCTACACCATCACTCCCATGCCAGAACCAAGTTCATCAACCAGGCAGAGGATGTAGGAGTAGTTGGTTCACCCCTCAGCAGGGGGTAGGAGTCATGCTGGGGTCAAAGCTGAGGTTAAGCACCTGGGTCAGTGTGCTGCTCACATGGAGTACCCAGGTCCAAGCCTTGGTCAGTCCTGGGGTTGGTACCAAGGAGATAGCTGGGCTCAGCCCTGAGAATATACCAGTCAGACCGGTATCAACACTGGTCAACCATAGGGTTAGTGCCACCCTCCCTGAAGCCCTCCATTGCCCCACCTCATGCACACTCACCAAAACACTGTGGTGGTTCCGAACAACTGTCACTCCCCGGTACCTTCCCTTTGGGGTGGGGACAATCTCTGAAACAGTTAAGGCCAGGTAAGGAGGGAGGGATGCTGGGAGGCAACTCTTCAGCCAAGGTCAGATGTCACGGGGCCCCATGAAGAACTGTTGGCCATTCGGAGCAGCCTCTAGAAGCTGGTTGAGGGGATTTCAAGTACAGGCCTGGACATGTTCGGGGCAAAGTGGCTATTCCCCAAACTTATTCACTGACTCATTCAACAAATGTCCTGTGATGTCTGCTCTGTGCCTGGCCTCATGCCAGATGGTGATGGGGATCTAGAAATAACTGAGACCTGGGGCTTTTCTTACAGGGGGTCCCAGTCTAGAGGGGCAGGAGGGCAGAGAAGCACTAGCTGGTGGGTGTGTGCAGCACCAGGGAGGTGTGCAAGATGCTAAAGGACTGGCTATAAGGATCAATGAACTCTCTAATCTCAAAGTTCTGTTGTTGGAGAATCTTACTGCCCCCCACCGAGACCCCAGGGTGAACATGTAGCTCACTCATTTCTCTCTATATTGTGGGCCTCAGAAGATGCATTTTCGAGCCATAAGATCACTCAGTTGCCCTGCCAGCCTGCATCCCCTTCTGAAGCAGAGAGTGAGGCTGTTCCACATCGTGTCTCTCACAGAGACAAGGACTCTACCATACACAGTCGAAGGGTCATCAGCAAATGTAGGTCTTGAGCTGGACTGGGCGGGATGGGTAGAGTTGGTTAATGAGTGAATTAGGTCCATTCATTTGTTTCCTCATTTATTCTTTCAAACAGCATTTATTGAGTGTCTACTGTATGCCAGTCCCATGCTAGATGCTAGGATGGCCACAGGTTGGGAGGGGTGGGGTTGGATTCCACTGAGGTGTGTTGAGTTGGGACAGGTTGGGTTTTGGAATCAGAGTTGAGTTTGCCAGCTCTAGATGCATGACCTTAGTCATACTGGCAATCAAAGGACTTCTCTGAGCTATAGCTTCCTCTTTTATAAAATGGTATAATTTTGAGAATTAAAAGTGAACAAAGCACTTAGCACAGTGCCAGGCACATGGTGAGCACTCAATACATTTTAAGTATCATTTTTGTTAGGACTGGGTCTGGAAAGGTGGGCTGGGGATCAGGGTCAGGTTGGGATGGGGTCGAGCATTGAGATAGAAAACCTGCTATTGGTGGTGGAATCTAGGGTAGAGGGACTGGACTAGGTTCAAGTGGACTGGGCCAGATAAGTGGGATTCCTTGGAAGGAGGTCCTAGGAGCATTCCCTGGAGTTGAGGTAGACTTACCTACTCGTTTACAGGAGATCTTATCTTGGATGAGGGAACAACAGTGCAGGAGGCCTGCTTCCCCCTTGGTTTGAGGGCCGGTGACCAGGAGCCTGATTTGGAAAGGTAGACAGCAAAGTTGAGCTGGCCAATGATTCCTTTCTTCTTTCTGCATGCCCAGGCACTGTCTTCCCACTCCCAATCCAGAGGCTCACAGGCTCCCTATCTGGAAAACTAATGGAGGAGGTTCCGACCTGAGGCAGGCAGGCAGACTCCAGCCCAGAATGGCAGATTCTGCATTATGTGGGAGGCATTTGCTCAGCATTTACCTTTACACAGCTCCAGGTGGGAAATGGTTAAATGCACCTGCTCTCTGCTGACTCACCCTGACAGAGATGGGGATGGTATTGATGGTAAATAAAGACTCCCTACTCTTTGGGGTGTGGGGGGGGTAGGTACCAGGAAGCCATCAGCAGGACCGCTGGTTCTGTTGGGGGCAGTGCTGGCTTCCTGGTGGCTGCCAGGGGAACTGCCCGCCCTGGCCTCAGTGATAGTATTTCCTGAGAAGAGCATGTTGGTGCTCTATCCTATGGGTGAGTCAGAAATGGAGGTTTGAAGGGGGGAGCGCCTTAGCCACATTAAGGCAGCCTCCAGAGATATGATTCCCTAAGGCAAACTTTGCCCTCATCCCAAGCCCAGGGAGACAGCAGAGTCCAGTGTCCGCCTAAGCATTCTCATTTTCCATGCTGCCCAGGGAGAACTGGTCTGCTTCAAGGCAGGGAGTGAGCTCCCCATCCTAGGGGTTGGGTTGTGAGTAGGGGGTATTGAGGAAGGGGCCCCGAGGCTGGGCTTGGTAACAGTGAACCAGTTCCAAGATCTTTGTGCTGAGGGCAGCAGGAAGCCATGGAGGACTTTACAATGGGGAATATTAGTCTGTACTTTCAAAAGGTCATGATGCAGCTATGGTGGGTTGGGTGGCAGGATTGAGGTACCACCTCCACTTCCTCACTTCCTATCACTCTATTATAATTATGAAATAGATCATTTACTTATCTCCATGGATTAAGAATAATAATAAAGTCTACACCTGTGTATATGCCCCCAACCCCCAGCTTAACCCACCCCAAGCTGATTCTACCTTCTGATACGGCTACTGTCGAGGTTAACAGTGGTCCCCACACTGCCAAATCTAATGGACACCTCTCTGTCCTTATCTTCTTCAACCTCTCAGCAGCCCTGGACATCTGACCATCCCCTCCTTGAAATACTTTCTTCTTGATTTCCCCCCACCTCTCTCAACACTCTTTCTCAGACTCCTTTGTTGGCTTCTTCACTGTCTAACTTCTAACTGTTGCCAGAGCCTTGGGGATTGGTTCTTGTTTTCCTTGCCAGCACATTCTCCCTAGTGATCCCCTCCAATCCCATGGCTTCAGTACACCTGTAAATGCTGAAATTCTGTGGCCCTAGGATCCCTCCACCAGAAGTCAGGCCAGCATTGCTGTAGGAAATAGGAAATAGCTGTAGGAAATGCACCCCCCCAAGATGTCCATGTCCTAATTCCCAGAACCTGTGAATATGCTACTTTTTGTGGCCAAATGGATTTTGTAGGTTTGATTAAGTTATGGATCTTGAAATAAGGGAAATTATCCTGGTTTATCTCGGTGGACCCAATGTAATCACAAGGGTCCTTATAAGAGGAAGGCAAGAGGGTCAGAGTCAGAGAAAGATCTGAAGATGCTACACTGCTGATTTTAAAGATGGAAGAAGAGGTCAAAAGCCAAGGAATGTGGTTAGCCTCTAGAAACTGAAAACGGTAAGGAAACCCATTCTCCCCTGAGCCACCAGAAGAAACACAGCCCTGCTAACACACCTTGATTTTAGCCTATTTAGACCCATTTTGGACTTCTGACTTCCAGAACTGTGAGATAATAAATTTGTGTTGCTTTAAGCCTCTAATTTTGTGGTTGTTACAGCAGCCATAGGAAACAAATGCAATGACTAACTGCCCCGTCTAATTAGACTGACCAAACAGAGCTTGGGGTCTTGTCCTCCCAAGCCTGTGCTTGCCTCCCTCCCTCCCTCCCTTTCTTCCAAGATTTTATTTGTTTATTTGACAGAGAGAGACACAGCAAGAGAGGGAACACAAGCAGGGGGAGTGGGAGAGGGAGAAGCGGGCTTCCTGCTGAGCAGGGAGCCCGATGCGGGGCTCAATCCAAGGACCCTGGGACCATGACCTGAGCCGAAGGCAGCCGCTTAACAACTGAGCCACCCAGGCGCCTCAAGTTTATGCTTTTCCATTTTCCCCAAGGCAATAGATGGTAGCACCAACCACTACATTATAAAGCCTGAAGCCTGGGTGCATCTTTATTTGCTTCATCTTTTCACTCATCCGAGCATCAAGTCCATCAGGAAACCCTATGGATTCTTCCTCCAAATTATACCTACAGAGCATCTCTTTTTTCCATTTCCCCATCACCATCCTGGCCACCAGCATCTTGCCTGGTCTATGATAATAGCCAACTAACTGGTAGTGTTTGTTTTTGAAATTTACCCTTATAGTTTATACCATATCACTCCCCTGCTTCAGTAGCCTCCCATGCGCTTAGAAAAAGAGTCCATACTCCTTGATGCACCCCACAGGGCCTTGCCGGTCTAGCCTCTCTCTGCCTGAGTCCTCCTCTCCCCATTTCTGTTTTGTTTTTTTTTTTTAATGATTTTATTTATTTATTTGAGAGAGAGAGAGTGAGTGAGAAAGAGCATGAGATGGGGAGGATCAGAGGGAGAAGCAGGCTTCCCGCCGAGCAGGAAGCCCAATGTGGGGGTCGATCCCAGGACCCTGGGATCATGACCTGAGCCGAAGGCAGACACTTAACGACTGAGCCACCCAGGAGCCCTCCTCTTCCCATTTCTTTGCTCTCCAAGCTCCAGCTCCACACTGGCTGGCTTCTGTTCCAGCCCCTTCTTTGGACAGCCCCAGTTCTTGCCTGCCCCCAGCCCTCTGCCTTGCTGTGCCTTTTGCCTGGAAGCCTGCCTTTCACTCCCCAAGTCTGGCTCATTTCCATCTCCTGGCCTTGCTTAACTGTCATGTCCTCATAAAGGCTTTCTCCAGCCAGCGCCACCTCACAGCACAGCTACTCTGCTGTATGTCTCCCAGTTTTATTTCCTTTTCAGAACTTGTTATGTCTGATAGTATCCTTTTTACTTGCTTATGTGCTTATTATCTGTCTCCCCCACTAGACCGTAAGTTCCTCAAGGATCACATCTAATCTTGTTGACCATGTTATTTCCAGAGCATGGAAGAATGACTGGCAAAGAGTTAGGGCTCAGTAAATATGGTTAAATATTGACTGAATTACAGCCCAGGAAGCAGGTAAGGGCGCTAATGTGGGGCAGGGCTGAAGAGCAGAGGGGCAGCTCTGTGGGCTCTGCAGCTGAGCTCCCAAAATAGGTCACGGGCTCAGCAACACTGCCTTTGCTCCAGACTCCTCCCCGGGCTGAGCCTCAGCCCTTGGTCTAGCACCGCATTCCCTCTCCCCCATAAAGGTGGGGTCAGAACTAGTCTCCACTCCAAATCATGTTTTGGTGGGGTAGGTCCAGGCCTGGAATAGCCTCAGCTCTCCTTCCTCCCTCAGGCCATTGCCTGAGCTATTTCCTTCCCAACTCCTTTTCCTGCCAACAGTCATCGTAAACACCTGCTCCTCAGGAAGTCTTCCTAAAAGGAACAACTTGACCCCCTCCAAGCCCTCCAGGTAGCCCTGACTACTGGAACCCACCTCTATACTCACCTAGACTGTGAGTTCTCAAGAGACTACCCATATACGGCTGTCCAGGCTGTGAACTGCAGAACCCAAGGTTGCCATTCATATCAAGTCATGCAGTGCTGTGGCCTGGGGCCCAGTCTGAGCTGCCTCTGTTGCCCAACCATTTTACCCCCCATGATGGGTAGTCTCTTGATCTCCAGGTTTGTTGACTGAATGACTGACTAACAATAACCAAACCCACCATCAGCTGACATCCCCAGGGACCCTATTGTACCCTAGGCTAGAAGCAGTCCATCTCCTGCCTTCACCCACCTTTAACCTGGGTCCATTCTGAGTCTAATCCCATACCTCCCAGGAGAAGGCCTTCTTTTTTTTTCCCAAGTTTTTTTTTTTTTTTTAATTTTATTTATGTATTTGACACAGAGAGGGAGAGCACAAGCAGGGGGAGCAGCAGAGAGAGAGGGAGAAGCAGACTCCCCACAGAGCAGGGAGCCCGACACGCAGCTCGATCCCAGGACCCTGGGAACATGACCTGAGCCGAAGGCAGATGCTTAACGACTGAGCCACCCAGGTACCCCTACCCCAACTTTTATCGTATTTTTTTAGTTTATTTTTTATGGTTTCATTTGCATTTTTATTGAAGTATAATTAACATACAGTGTTATATTCGTTTCAGGTGTGGAAGGCCTTCTTTATGTTCCATTCATTTCACCCTGCGGCAACGACACTCATGCTGCCAGCCCCGGCTGTTCTATTTTAGGGAGAAACAGCACAAGGAAGTGAGAGGGACACATCACCCTTTCACAGGGAGCCCAGCCTTCTCCGCTCTCTGTGGCCCTGAGGAGGCCAGCAGCACATTTCCTGCTCAGCACGGCAGGCACGTGGTCTTGGGCTTCACCATTTGTGGCAGGAACCCAAAGTTCCTTCCACCACATCCTCCTGTGAGCCCCCTCTGCTTCAGCAGGTGTTCAGGGAGGTTTTCATGAGCCCAGCTGGGCTCTCCTTGCACCCTATGGTGGACTCAGAGCCTTCCGCTCCAGGGGCTCCAATCACCTTGGCTTCTAGTCAGGGGGCCTGGAGCTGGAGAGGGTCCTGCTGGGGTACTGGTGGAAGGGGACTGGGCAAGAGATGGTCACAAATAACTGGGATTGACACTTGGCTTTCAGGAGCATGGGGAGCAACCAGAACACTCATGCACTGAAGTTTGGAAAACTAAATGTTGGCTCTATGCATAAGTCCTGATCCAGCAATTCCAATGCTGGGCACATGCCTGATAAAAGGAAGTACACCTGCCCATCAAGAGCAGTATAATTTGTCCAAGGAAATTGGCCAAATGCCCATTGTCAGCACTGTTCACACAATGGAAGACTTAAGAGCAATGAGAATAAGTATCATTGTCTCAGGCAATACCATTTTCAAAATTCACAGACTCTATTGAGGAAGAATAATGGCATGCCTCATTTATAAGTTCAAGAACAAGCAAAACTAATCCAGGGAGGTGGAGATAAGAGCACTGGTTAGCTCTTGGCAGGGGATGTGCCTGGAAGGGAACACCAGGCTAGAGGGGGCTTAGGTGAGGCTGGTAATGTGCTTTTTTTTTTTTTTTTTAAGATTTTATTTATTTATTTGTCAGAGAGAGAGAGAGTGTGCACAAGCAGGGGGAGTGGATGAGGGAGAGGCAGTTTTCCCGCAGAGCAGGGAGCCTGATGTGGGACTCGATCCCAGGACCCTGGGATCATGACCTGAGCTGAAGGCAGATGCTTCACTGACTGAGACACTCAGGCATCCCGAGGCTGGTAATGTTCTGCTTCTTCATTTGGATGCTGCTTACATAGGTGTTTCATTTTGCAAACATTCACTGAGCTACACGCTTATGATGGGGGCATTTTCTGTGTGACAAATGTCCATAAAATTTTACCAAAACAAGAACAACAAAACACACAACAAACACTGACTTTAATTCATCTTCCTGCAGCCAAGAACTTGTTAACAACCTTCTCACCACCCCTTCCTGCTTCAAACCTTTCTGGAGCCTCAAATCCTTGGTGCCTAGGTGGCAAGGCACCACCCACCTCTCCCAGCCTATTGCTCATTGCACTCAGCTTCGATCATTTGACATTTTCTGTTCCTTGACTTTGCTCCCACTGGCTTCCAGGCTTCTGACCACACTGCTCTTGGCTGGGACATCCCCCTCCCCTGCCTTCTCACACTAATTCCTACTCATCTCCTCAGCCCCAGGGTTGATGCGCACCTTGTGACTGAAGGATACACCTGCCTCTATGTCTCCAAAGTACCCTAGACATCCCCACCAGAGCTGCCATCACTCCTCTTGTCATTGCCTGCCTTGTCTGTCTCCTTCATGAGCCAGGGGGCCCCACGAGGGCAGGGACTGTGCCTCTTTCACTATCTTATCCCCGCATTTAGCCTGTGATTGAGTCGATGCTCCATAAATACTTCCTGAATGTATGAATGAATGAACAAACTGACCCTGCCCTTCCCCCTTGCATGGTCACCAGCCTCTTCACTGTACAGGGAGGAAACCACAGTCTAGCAAGGGGTCCAAGCATGCTTAGCTGGCGGGGTCATGGCCCAAGTCCCAGGGCTATAAGGCTGCCTCAGAAGCTGTTACTGCCTACCCATCCTCCACCAAACAGAGCTTCTGCTATGCTCAACTTGGGAAGATGGGGAGCTCCGCTCAGCCAGAAAACTTGGGCTCCTCATCTGGCTCTGCCCCAAAGCCTGTCTGGATGCTGGGCTCATGGCTCATGTGTGCTGGGTAAGAAGGAAACCCTTGACCACTGACAAGAAGCAAAGCAGCGAGGATGGGGAGGGGACTGGCCTGGGGCAGGGCATGAGCAGGGCTGGGTGACAGCAAGCACAGAGAAAGCCATATGACCATTATGAACAAAAAGGAAAGGAAAAATTGCTCTAGATTAAAAGAGAATAAAGAGACACAACAATATGGCACATGTGAACCTTGACTGGATCCTGGCTTCAAAACAAAGCAGCTCTAAAAGTCATTTTGATGACGATAAGGGACAAAACTAAAGACATGTTTCTACATTAGCATATCCCCACTATCACCATCTGATATAATACATATTTTGCTTGCTTGCTCATTGTCTATCTCCCCCGAGCCTAAGAATTTTTGTCTACTTTGCTCACAGCTGTATCTTCAGGGTCTGGCACATAGTCAGTGCTCCGTATAGATACTTGTTGAATAAATGACCATTGTATATATAATTCAACAATCACCGTTTTTACCTTACGTTTTGGGAGTGATTCAAGTTAACAACCACTGTGCTCATTTTATTCATTTGACCTGCTTCTAATATTGCATCGTATATGATTCACAGCTTATTTCCTCCATTTTCCTAATGAGGACCATTTCCAGTCTTTCACTATTCTAAGAAATGCTACAATAAATAGCTTTACATGTGCCTGGGACTATCTCTAAGGTTGGCGTCTGGGAGTGGAATGGCTGGGTCAAAGGCATCTTGGACATTACCAGGTATGGTAAAACGATTCTCTGAGTTGGTTGTATCAATTTACAGCCCCACAGGTTCCCACATCCTCACCAGCAGAATTTTGCCACATTTAAAATTTGTGGCTTATCTAATGGGTGGGTACAGATGAGATTTTTATTTTTTTTTTTAAAGATTTTATTTGTTTGAGAGAGAGAGAATGAGCAGTGGGGAGGGGCAGAGGAAGAGAGAAAGAGAAGCAGGTTCACCGCAGAGCAGGGAGCCCGATGTGGGGCTCCATCCTGGGAGCCTGAGATCATGACCTGAGCAGAAGGCAGACACTTAACCAACTGAGCCACCCAGACATCCCCCAGATGAGATTTTAAAAACACAAATGCAATGTTTAGTGAGCTTGAGTTTGGCCAGAAACTGTAATAAATCCTTTCTGTGCATTAACTCAAATAGTTTTATGCAACAACCCCGTGATATAGGGAAATCTCTACCACTACAGTAGAGATAAGAAACGGGTTGTGGGTTGAGTGCTTCGCTACAAGTACAGAGTAAAGCTGTCACTGACGCATGGCTACCAGACCCACAACCTGCCTCTTAACCACATTCCCTGATGCCTCACAGTTTCCATTTTTTCTCTGATATTTTTGTCATTGCCCAAAATTTCTATACTGAGCATTACAAAACAGCCTTAATAAACTTTATTTTAAAATAGTTTGAGGTCATATCCTGCCCCCCGTTCCCTGGCAGTAAAGAGGGCTAGGATTGGCCTGGTGCTCACAGCCTCTCTCCTGTACACCTTTTTGAAAGTGAAGGGAGTTTTTTCCCAGACTGTGGGGGTGAGCCTTCTCTGGGGCTTGTTCAGACTCCCCAGAGGCGCCCTCAATTATGCCTCCCATCTGCCAGGCGCCACTCACCAGGTCTGGTTGGTGCTGGAGTCTTGGTGAAGAAGGGAGTTGAGCACATAGGGTGTGTCTCCCTCAGGAGTCACCCAGATCCGGGCCTCATCCACGTTGAAGGCCGCCAGAAGAGCAAGGCCTGTGGAGAACAGAGGAACATTAACAAAACAGGGAGCCTGTCGAGGCCTTGGCTAGGCCTTTGACTCCCATCATTCAGTCACATCTTGTGGGGTCATCACACCCATTTTACAGACGAGAAATTGAGACTCCCAAGATCTTTTTCCTGTGGGAATAGGACAGGAACGTAGGCATGTCTGACCCAGACCCCCGCCCCCCCAATCCTCCTACTAAACTGTGTCAGCACCAAGGCCTCTTCCTCCAGGAAACTTTCCCTGGTTCTCCCCTAGAAGTACTTCCCACCTTCTCACACCTCCCACTATGCATTTTCTGTACCTGTCAGCGCATACTCACGACAGGGTCTTGCCCCAAAGTTGAGCCCCAGGGACAGGCTATACATACATTCTATCTACGACCCTCCACCAAGTGACCCAAGAGAAAACGTCTTCAAACAGGTACAAGAATGTTTACAGAAGCTTTATTTGTAATAGTTCCCAACTGGAAACAATCCAAAGGGCCATCAACTGGGGAAGGGATAAACTGTGGTATATTCATACAATGGAATACTACTCAGGAGTAAAAAGGAATGAGCAATTGACACACACAGCGAGATGGGTATATCACAAAAATCATTATGCTGAGTGAAAGGAGCTTTACATAAAAGAGCATGTACTGTATAATTCCACTTACATGATGTTCTAGAATCGGCAAAACTGATCTATGGTAAAAAATATTTCCTGGGGGTATGGGGATGGGGCTTAACTGGGAAGGGACAGGAAGAAACTTTGTAGGCTGATGGAAATATCCTAGATCTTGACAGGAATTTGGATGACAAAGATGTGTGCATTTGTCAAAAACACACTGAATGGTCAACTTAAAAATTTGTGCATTTCATCGAAGGTACATTTTCCCTCAAAAAAGAACCATAAACAAACACCGAAATCTAGTTGATGTGTATGCTGAAATATTTAGGGATAAAGTATACCAATGTCTGCAGTTTACTTTGAAATGCATCAAAATGCAAGATGGCTTGATGGATGGCTAGATGGATATGCAGATATATGTTTATATATATGATATATATGTGATAATGCAAATAGAACAAAATGTTGACAATTGTAAAATCTAAGTGTGGTATATAATTTTCCACTGCACAATTATTTCAACTTTTCTGTATATTTGACATCTTTCACTAAAAAGTTTTGAAGAAAAATTGATATTGACAGATTGTCCCCCACAGAGGTTATGCCAATTCATACAACAGAATAGGAAAAGGCCTGTTTTCCCATAGCACTGCTTGAGCTGTGTGCAGACCTTTTCATCCTTGTTTTGAAGGAGTACCTTATCATTTTGTTCCAAAATATATTTTTTTTAAATTATGAGTGAGGTCAAGCTTCTTATTTTAAGTTGTTTACTACCTATTAATATACATTATCCATTTGTATGAAGTATTTATTGCTTTCTTATTAATTTGTGAGAGTTGTTTTTTTTAAAAGATTTTATTTATTTATTTGACAGAGACAGCGAGACAGGAAACACAAGCAGGGGGAGTGGGAGAGGGAGAAGCAGGCTTCCCGCCGAGCAGGGAGCCCAACGAGGGGCTCGATCCCAGGACCTGGGATCATGACCTGAGACGCTTAACGACTGGGCCACCCAGGTGCCCTGTAAGAGTTTTTGAATCCAAAAGAAATTATCAATGTGTTAAAGATATTGTTTCTCACTTAGCTATTTATTTGGCTTGCATGATATCTTTCCCCACATCTATAGTTTGTATGTAGTCATTTTTCATTTATGACTCTTGAGTTTTATGTCATGCTTCCCCATTCAGTGATTTTTTTTTTTTTAAGTTCACTCATGTTTTCCTCTATATTTTGGGGGTTTTTTTGTTTCACTTCTTACACTTGAATCTTTGATCCAGCTACACTTTATTTTTGTGTGTGGAGTAAAATAGCGATCCAGCTTTTACTTTTTCTCCCCACAAATGAAATTGTCTCAACATTATTTCTTGAATAGCTCATCTTATCCCCATAGATTTTGCAGTATCAACTTTATCATTCTCAGAAATCCCATATGCATCTGGGCCTCTGTTGGGACCATGCCACTCCACTGTAAAAACTCTAATGTAAATTATTTCCATAGAAAAAGGGCAAGGTGAAGTTCAGTGTACAGAACTCATCTGTTCAACTACTGTTCAAGGAGAAACTTTTTGCAGTGGCTCTTGAAAAGCTATACTACTTTTTGGAAAACACTCTTTTTTAAATGATGTTAGTAATAATGACTTTTTCATCCCTAAATACACCACATAAACATGCTATAAGGAATGATGTTCTGACATCACACTTTCAGGCAAAACATACTAATTTTCTTAATAAAACAGTTCCTAGCCCAACAACATCATAGGAAACAAATGTGCACTGCTTGCCTTGTTTGGATAAATCCCAAATGCTTTGTTTTTGCATATACATGGCGATTGAAAGGGCTGGAGAGGTAGTAGCTTCTGTGATTCTGCAGTGTGTTAAATGCATAAGCTATTCCATGTATTTTGAAGTGCGTTCAGGTTTAGTGTTTATTTTACCCTCAGTGTATTTTTCTGTGCTATAACTTTATTTTTAAAGGTAGTTTGAATGCAAGATAACCATGAGTACCCAAAAGACTGAAGAAATGGTGCAGAAGGAAAAATGTACCTTTCTCAATGACTCCCTCACAAATATTCTCCACTACTCATCATTAAGTCTTCATTTCTTCTTTTAATGAGGACAATTAACCTTTATTGCAATAAGTTGTATATGTAAATTGTATCTTTATATTCAAATTATTTTTTTAGTATAAACCTGTTTTATTGGCCAATTAATAAATTTTTCCATCAGTAAAAACTGTTTGGGTATTGGGCTGGATGGAATGAACCAGTTTTTCCACTGAAATTGATGTAAATATTTCTTCCAATTAATGGTTTTACACTTAGCAGTAGCAATTTTAAAAACAAATTAAAATCATTAGGCAAAGGACAGGTTTACAGACTTTTATATAAGGAAGAGAAAGAAATATCTATATACAAATATATTGTTCTTTATTTACCAAGAAGATATAAATTTAAAATCTGTATGCATCCAATAACATCACTACAAAATATATTTAAAAATTGATTGAATTAAAAGGAAAAATACAAAAATCCACAACCAAAATGGGAGATTTTAATGCTTTAACAATCTTTCATATAAGCTATGAAAAGATCACTAAGGAGATAGAAGATCTGAACAACACAATTAACAAAATTGACCTGATTAATAGAACACTGTAAATAATGGTAAAATAAGCACTTTTCATATGCACATGAAACATTTGCCAAAATTGAACATATGCTACGTCAAAAAGCAGCCCCAATAAACTTCAATGGATTGAAATAATTCAGAATATGTTCTCTGACTACAGTGGAATTAAATTAGAAGCCAATAACAAAAAGAAACTAAAAAAACTTGAATGTTTCAGAAAGAAAGCAATGCAGGGGCGGGGAGGAGCAAGATGGAGGAGTAGGAGACCTAAATTTCGTCTGGTCTCAGGAATTCAGCTGGATAGGGATCATACCATTCTGAACACCTACGAACTCAACAGGAGATCGAAGAAAAGAACAGCAGCAACTCTCAACAGAAAAGCGACCACTTGCTGGAAGGTAGGATGTGCGGAGAAGTGAATCCGAGGCGATATTCGGGAGGATAGACGGTGGGGGTGGGGTGGGGCCTCCGTCAGCCACTTCTGGCAAGTGCTAGAGCCGGGTAGCACAAGATCGGAACTTTTGGAAGTCGGCTCCGCTGAGGGACGTCGCTCCAGTGGTGAAGCGGGGGGTGGAACCCTCACGGGACAGTGTGGTCTCAGGACCCTTGGGGTCACAGAAAGACCGGGGGTGCCTGAGTGCGGCAGAGCTCCCAGGTATCAGAGCGGGGAAGCCGGCTGCAGAGACGGAGCCGAGGCGCGGGCTCTCAGCTCAGGGTTGCCATAAACTGTGATCGGTGACAGTCGAGCCACTGCTCCTCCAGCAGGGACCCAACAAGCAGCAGATCCCGGGAGACTCCCCTCCCTCCCCTGGGAGGAGCGCGCGGGAGTGCACCGCAGGGATCTGCTGGGTTTGGAGACTCCACACGGGGTCAGGTGCCAGAGATAGAAACACTCGGTCACAGGCCGGGGGAGCACGGAGTGCAGCCAGAGACCGGAGAGACGGGAGTGACTGCTTTTCTCTGGGGGCGCACTGAGGAGCGGGGCCCTGAGTTCTCGGCTCCTCTGGGGCGGAGATTGGGAGGCTGCCATTTTTACTGTCATCCTCCAAAGCTGTACCGAGAGCTTGCGGGGAACAAAAGCTCCCGAGAGCAAACCTGAGCGATTGCTTAGCCTGGACCAACAAGGGCGGGGCAGTTCCACCTCCGGCAAAGACACTTGAGAACCATGGCAACAGGCCCCTCCCCCAGAAGATCAGCACAAACAGCCAGCCAAGACCAAGTTTACCGATCAATGAGAACGGCAGAACTCCAGCGCTAGGGGAATACTGCAATAGAATTCATGGCCTTTTTCCCATGATTCTTTAGTCTCTCAAAGTTAATTTTTTTTAACTACCTTTTTTTCTTTTGAATTTTTTTTCCTTTTTCAACCAACATCTTATCAATCCCTTTTTTAAAAAAATCTTTTTTACTTTTCATTTTTAGAGTCATATTCTATCCCTTCATAGTAGTTAACCTTATTTTTGGTATATATATATATTATATATATATATATATAAGTTGTTCCCTCTTCAAAATTTTGGAATACAGTTTCTTCTAATAGATCAAAATATACCCTAAATCTCTAGTGTATGGCTTTGTTCTACTCTCCTGCCTGATCACATTCTCTCCCTTTTTTTTTGAAATCCTCTTTCTTTTTTCAACCAACTTATCAATTCCTTTTATAAAATCTTATAATTTTCATCTTTACAGTCATATTCCATCCCTTCATCGTATTAACCCTTATTTTTGTACATATATAAGTTTTTCTTTCTTT